TTTTTTTTTTTTTTTTTTTTTTCTTGGACTGGTGCTGTAATTAAAGCTGAAATACTGCTGTAAACTGTTACCTGGAGTGGTAAAACATGTTTTTTTGTCCAACCATAGCAGAAGGGCTGTTTATGAAGGGACTGTTGCCATCTAAACACTCCCTTCTTTTGGAAACTGATGGGATGTTTTGTGATTGCTTTTCATCTTCTGAACAGCTGAAAAGATGAAAACCTAAATGAGTAGAYTGGTGTTGTAGACAGTGCTTTTCATAGTCCCTTAGTACAACTGCATACAACAAAGTATTGAAGCTAACTTGTCTGAACTATGCTATGTAATTTGTGGAGTCTTCCATATAGGAAGAATTGCATCTCTTCTAAAGTCATGAAGAAACTTGACTGCCCTGTGGAGAGGGAGCTGGATGTTCTGCTGAATCTCATTTCAGAACTAGCCTGAGAAGATAGTTTGTGGCGCTTCTTGCCATGGGCAAGGATAGGAAGAGCCATGTGCCACTAAAATAATGTTGCTAAAATTTCTTAGCAAGCCCCTAAACTAGTTTTAAGCATACAAGGAGGAGGTGAGTGTGCACATTGACCTGGAATAACCAAAATTTACTAGCTCTGATTTTTCTTGAATGTCACTTTGAGTGTATTGGAGTTGACTCACAAACCTTTTAGAGGAATGTTTAAAAAAAAAAAGAAAAAAGTTGAGTTGAGAGGAACACCAGAATTGGTGTTCTAACTTAAGACCTCAGGTGGTGCTGCCACAAGCTCCTTGCTAGRCTGAGGCTTAAAATTGTATACCTTTAAAAACAGAGAGGTTTTTTAAATCATGGGCACATGTTGTTACTGTATGCARCTCTTTGCTGAAGGGTTACATTGGGTGTTTTTGTTTGACAGCCTCCCTCTCTCCTGATCTCTTAGTGAAGAAAAGAGAATACCTTGCTAGCCGCTTTCAGTCAGTGATGTAATCTCTAGATACCTTGCTCTCTGGGAGCTAGGTTGTAGCCCCTCTATTTGTAGAGGAAAAACTCTACAACCCTCTATCTGTAAGCTGGAAAACCCAAGGCTTGAAGGCAGCCGTTTGATAAGGGCAGTGCTGGGAAGCTGAAGGGATGGGAGCTGCTGCCAGCCCTGGTGTGCGGAGGCTGGTGCTGCTGTGTGTGGTGCAGGGGGGCCGCCCGCTGCAGCAGGGTCTGCCTTGGGTGKCTCCACGGGTAATCCTGGCCGTGGATGTGCCACGGTGTCACCTCGAGGCAGGGCTAAGCTCTGATAGCCTGTGTGCTGCTTGAACCTGGTGGCAGGAAGGAGTGACCTCTGCTCCTTGTAGCTGATTGATAAGGGTTTTCTGCAGAGGAGTCCTTTAGACCGTGGCCCTGGCATAGTGGCTTGCTCATGGATGTGCCTGCTGTCCACCTTCCTAAGCGTTTGCTTGAAAGCTTTGAGATAGTAGAAGCAGAAGTTGGATTAGAGATATCAAACCCTATCTTAATTTGGATCTGGGCTTCCAGATAACAAACTGCAAGGACAGTGTTCCATCTTGTTCTGGTTAAAAACTGTCTTGTACTAGACCGGAATCCCTTGTGCTCTTCAGTACTTCAATTTAATGTCTCCATGTGTCTAGCATCTCTAAAAGTCCTGTATTATGACATCTTTTATCTTTTATTAAATTCTAGGTGACTTGGGCTTGCAAAAAGCTTCTAAAAGTCTTCTGGAATTCAGTACTACACATGACTGCTTGCAGCAAGGGAGTCAGCACCAAATTCAAAGCAACATTAACTTCCTGTGTGGGAAGACACTGGTAAGAGTAAATCACTTGTTCTTATCTTCAATTAAAGCAGCTCGCACTTTTTAGAGAGACTTACTGTCCTAATGGATGTGCTAATTGCAAAGCTTTCTAACTGAAGGAAGAGGCAGTTATGTTTTAGTATCAAGTTTAGTACCAAAATCAGTCAAATTTGGCTTTCAAAATGTAATCAAGCTAGAAAAAAGTTACAAATCTGCAATTTAAATCTGATCAGATGTTCTTCTGTTTTTTTTCTTTTAAGAGAGGAATAGTACTGATATTTTAAGTGTAGTACAGAGCCAACTCATTTCTCTGTACTATGAGTATTTTAACYATGAAAGCTCTTGTTAGATGCTGGCTGGTACCAAACTGTGGACCTAAAATGGCTGCTTAATAAAACAGTGTTGAACATGACTACYTCCSTTAGTAAGCTTTAGATTTTTATTGYTGAGCAGTCAAACTCCAGAGTAATCATTTGTGGGTATCTTCCTAAAATATGAACTGAGGCTCCTGCAAAGTTCCTAGAGTGTATGTGAGTTTACTTGTGTCTCCATATGCTTTGGAAGTTCTACCTCCCAAATATTTTACAGATGCACAAAATTAGTAAACTGATCCTTGTCTGTACAGAATATTGGACTGTGGTATTAAAGTGGTAAATATTCAATTAGTGCTCCTGTTGGCACTGATAACCTTATTATATGGCCTCTCCTGGAAATCTAGGTGATTCAAATGCACGATAATAGTGCAGGAGAAATGTAAATGCTTCAGATACTATTTCAACAGATCACTTSTTAGAATTAAAACTTCTTGCTCAATTGTGGCTGTAACAAGGTCATAACCACTCTTAAAACTTCTCTTAGTGTGGTTTCTAAACACCTGTTCATGTGACTTAGCAAAAGGATTTTGTAATGGTGTCTGGAACAGGTCGCTTACAACCCTTCCTTTTGGGACAGCACTGAGTGTAGGGAGGGAGTAGATTTGAGTAAGTAGGCTAAGGTACTTGTAGCTAAGGTAGTGCTGGGGAAAAAATCCGGTGGGTGGAAAAAAATTAGGTTGTTTTTCTATAAGTTTGGCTGAGCACCAAGCCCTAAGCCATGGTAGAACACCTTTCTTGAAGTCCCTGCTAGTTTAATGTAAGCATTTCTTGCCTATAAAAGTAAGTACATTTGAGAGAGCCTTTCTGCATAATAAAGTGATTGCTAGCTAGAAAATAAGTAATACCTCCCTTGTAGGATGAAAGATAAGGAATTGGAAGTCATGCATTGGCTTGTTCATCGGTTTATGTGCTTTTGTGTTGATACTTCCCAGTGACTAGACGTGACTGTGCTTCTGCCAATACCAGTTTGGAACAGTGAGTGCTTCTAAAGGATGCAGTAAAATTACTGCATATTAGGATTGGAGCTTGTTAATTTGGGAGCTTGCATAGGCAGAGTCAGAAGGATTTGGCAGCCTCCATGTTCCTGAGTTTATCAACAGAGTTATTAGAAAATAACAAATTGGCTGTTAATAGCAGGGACTGTTAAGAAACAGTGCCCTTTCTCTGTGATGTTCAGAACTGTCTTAGTCTCATAAGTGAACTTTTTGCTGTCTATAAAATAATACCGAAGTCTATGCTTCAAATACTGATTTATTTCCTTTCTTTAAATAGGGTACTCCTGAACTTGTAACAGCAACAGAGTGCGTGCACTATTTTGAATGGAGGACCTTTGTAGCTTGTAAGAGAGACTTGTTTAAGCCTGTGAAAGAGGTAATCTATATACTCTCTCTCTCTATATATATATATATAAAAAGCTACGCTGTGCACATATAGCAATTTTAGTCTAACTCCCCTCAACCCTAAACAAATCTAAACAACTGATCTAGGTCTGGCTTCTTGATAATCATGTATGAACTTGCTGAAAATTTTAAGTGACTCTTTAAAGCCTTTTTATGGTCTGTATGGTTATTTATTGTAAGAGTCCTGTAAAAAAAACTAAAGCAGAACATGTTAACTTCGGGTAGCTCACTTTGACCAACATGTTAAMCTTTTTTTCTTTAAGTTTGTCTGCAAGTACTTTAGCTTGCAGAAGCAAAACCCTTTTCCAAGTGTTAGTTTGTTTTTTATATATGCCTACTTGTAGTTTCTCCCTACTTACATAGCATGGATTGCATGTAACCTTTTTATGTTTTAGGTGCCTTGCTATGTGTTTGATGAAGATTTGAAGAAACATGACTTGAATCCTCTGATCAAAATTTCAGGAAGTTATTTGGTGGATGATTCTGATGATGATTCCTTGTTTATAAACCTCTGCAGGGACTTAGGTGTGAACACCTGCTTGTATTGTCTGATAGAGTGTAAATTTATAGTAGAATGGCTGTTTCCTTGTGCATTAATTGATTTTGTCAGACTTAAACTTGTATTTTAGGACTTACACTGTTATTTAAATCTACATCTGTTTTAAAACCTGCTTTCTGTGGAGCCAGCTGCAACTACTGAGCTGTTTAGATATATTCCTCTTCTAGATGGATAAGGTCTGTAAGGGAAGTTGTTTTAAACAGAAATGAGAGGAAGAGCTTTGCTTGTCCTGCTCCTGCAGCTTGTTTGCTTGCAGCCTAAGACAACCTCCTTAGCACATCTTGTGTTTTGAGCTTCTTGCTCCAAGTTCTAGTCCAGGTTGTTTTAGTTGCATTTCTTGAGACATGTCTAAAAGTATGTAGGTACTTGGGTGAGTAACAGTGCCTAGCTAGCACTTTGCAGTCATTTGGGAGTTGGATTAGTAAAATTGCTAATTTAAAACTTACTGTCACAGCTATTTTCACTGTATACTTACACTGATTTTTTTTCTGCTGGGCAGTTAGATCTGCATTTTTCTTCCCCTTCAGCAGCTGAATAGTTCTAGTTTTAGTAGTAGGCCTGCTAAGCAGAATTCTTAAATCTCATTCGTCTGAAAATTGTCACTGGAAACTTTGAATTTTATATGAACCTTTGAATTTKATAAACCATTATGAGGAACCATTTCAATGCTGTGGAAAAAAAAATAGAACACTTCCAAAAGGTATAGGAGCCTTACACATCCAAATACTACTCTACCAACTGGAAACTAGTGGCAGGTGCTTCAGTGTTGTGAAAGAATAAAATTGAAACCCAAACCAGGGCAAAAGTTACAAGTACAAGAAAACTACTTTCAGTAGTTTTCTTGACAGCTTCACATTATAGTTTAGCTCGATTTTTAAAGGTGTTTTTAGGAAAGGGTAAATCAGTGGATGGAAAGCGAGTCCACAGATGAAGCATCTACTTCATGCAGGGCTTAGAAACTCGGCATTGTTTTCTCTATTCCGTAACAGGACGTTCAAGTGAAGAGACGAGCAGCTGTCCTGCTGGCAGTGCTGCTTGCTTGTTACGCCAAGGTCGTGCCTATGATGTTGGTCGTCCTCAGGAACAACTGGAACTTCATAACAAAGACAGGTACTTCGTTCATCTGATTATGCTTCTGTGAGCCCTTCTCAGTTGTCTAGGCTGGATAAAGTGTCTAGCTTCCAGATGACTCATTGCTACCATCAATATGTTTTCAGTATTGTAGGGTTGGCCAGGAATAGTTTCATGGAACACCAGCAGAGAGGAGTTTTGGGGGCATCCTCTTCCATAACAGATCAAGTTTTCTTCACTGTGGGAGATTCTGTAGAGTTGCAGAAAATCTCAAAAGCTGGGGCTGATTGGTGTTCTCTGTCTTTCTTTCTCTGCCTTTCCTCTGCCTACTATCTGAGGGCCTGAAGGAAAAATTCACTTGACTRTCTGAGTTTACTTGCTGCCTTTGGCTCAATCTGCCGCCTAGGGGTACCTCAAGTTTAGAACAGGTCCAGATGTTGCCTGTCTGTATCTTTGCATTGATGACTTCTTAATTTAACAAATATAAGTAAGCAAGGTTGGCTATTTCTGAGGGTGTGGAACTGGAACTAGCAGAAACTTTTTTGATGCTGTCTCTTGTGCAAGAAGTGTAGTATGAAAGAAAGGCACCCCATGTGATTTGGGGTCAAAATGATTGTCTTTGATCATTAGGTACTATGAGCCTACTTACCATAGATTTAGGGATCACTAATAAACTGTTGACTTTCGTAGTACTTTTTTTTTTCCCGCTCAGACTTTAGTAGAAGAAAAAGTCARAATAAGCCAAGCTAACAACGGAGGTAACAGATTTTCAGTGATAGCTTTTTTCTTTTCCAGTTTACAAGTAAAATTGTTGATGTCCTACAGAGCACTTTCTACCTCTCCTCTCTCACCCCACCCGCCAACCTGAACCAAGTGGCTGAAGAATTCTATACTGAAGTGGAAGGTTAAATATGAGGAAACATAACCACGTTCTCATATGAAAATTCAAATCATACTGTATAAGAAATAGCTGCCCTTAGACTGTCTTGTCCCTGTTAGGGTTACTGGAACAGAATTATTTGTGTGTAATGAACCAGCTTAGGGCTGTCTGGGAAGAGAGTGAAATGTTTGTATTGGCRTCCTGTGGTATGGAGAAGCCATCAGGTGAGAGATGTGACTAACCTGAAGCAAGGCTGACACCCTTYTGCAAATTGCAGACTTGTTTGTTAGATTCTTGTTTGTTAGAATGGTAATGCTTGGAAATTGCACTGAGGTTGTCTTGTTTTCTCCTCCGTCGCCTTGCCACGTCATCCTGACACAGTTATATTGTTTCATGCCTCCTGTCCTGATTAATGATGTTTTCCTGCAGTCATTTCTGCGAGCAGGATAGAARGATTATAAATGTGCAGGTGGTAAACCTTAGGAAAGTAGTAAAACATGAGTGCTTTCAGAAAGTTGCAAGACTATTGTATCTGCTCAGCAACAATCTGAGAATAAAGCTAGAATGTTTTCATAACTATCAGCCAGGCTCCCACCATCTGAGTTAAGGCATTGAGTATTGTCTTAAATGGGAAGCAAGAGCCTGCTGTAGTAAGTCATTTTGCTGGGATTTTTTTTAACCTTTTAGTTCATCGTAGGAATAAAGACCACCTTAATAGTAAATTTCAGAGTGGAGGCCACTTTAGTGTATTCTGCCTGGGTATATGATAAAAGGCAGATGTTCCTCTAAAACATATCCTTCTCTACCATGCATATGTCTTAATATGTTGCTGGTTTGTCATTTTCTGTTTCCAGGCTGGTACTGAGTTATGAGAGAATATACAGTGATGAAGAGAGGCCAGACTTCTGCCTTGGCCATAACCCAGCAGTGACCATCACTTTTGTTTGCCCATCAAAGAGGGGAGAAGAGGTAACTTTGCTGTTTTAGTTTGTGTTAAATAATTGGTATCTAACTTCTTTGTACATTATTTTTTTCTTTAAAGGAGTGAAGGGAACATAGGCACATTCTGTTTTGCAGGTTGTGAAGAGTGTGGGATTTTTAATATAAATTACTCTTAAGAAATAGGTTTAGGAATTAAAATGATTTTTTTAAAAAAAAAAACCTTAGGAATTAAGAACTTGACTAAAATGCTCTTCTGATATTTTTCTCCTGTTTTGGTGAATTTGGTTGTCCTTTTGTAGACTGAAGGTTTTTCTCTGAGAATAGGACAGGATTTAGGACAGTGTTTCATCCTCAGCATTGGTCTTGGCTTGCTGATAAGCACTTTTCTAACACTAGTAAGGCTAGGCACGCTTAAGATGTTGCCTGCAAGTTGTTTTTTATAAATCTGGTCTTGGGAAAAAGACTGTGTGTCTGCCTGCTGTTTTAGTTAATGGGGGGGAAACACGGATGTATGAAACGACGTGAGTGCCTAAATTCTTTGCTTGAAAGTTGGGGGGGAAAAAAAATAGTGTTGCTTTTTTTTATGGAGATTCAAAAAATATTGCCTTACAGAAGACATCTGGCAAGTGTTGACTAAGGAATTTTCAAGCATGTTTCTCAGTCCCGATTTAGACTGAGGGAATCCAAGTTACTGAAATGGGCAGTGTATGAGCAGCTTGCCTGCCTTTAGAGAATACTTGATCTCCATTCCCTTCTTTGGACTCATCTGAAAGGCAGTGCTGTGCTCAGCAATTTGGGCTCCAGTGTTTCTGCTTTAGCTCACATGTTCAGGAAAAGGACTTAGTCCTGGTAGTCTTTTGGTAATGCTTCTGGTTCCACCTCTGTGTAGATTGCCAGTTGTTTGCCTCATTGCCAAGAATCATAGAATCATAGAATCATAGAATGCCSAAGGTTGGAAGGGACCTCAGAGGTCATCGAGTCCAACCCCCCTGCTCACGCAGGGTCACCTAGAGCACGTGGCACAGGGCTGCATCCAAGYGGGTTTTAAAGATCTCCAAAGAAGGAGACTCCACAACCTCTCTGGGCAGCCTGTTCCAGTGCTTTGTCACCCTCACAGTGAAGAAATGCTTCCTTAAGTTCCTGTGGAACTTCCGATGCTTCAGTTTGAAGCMATTTCCTCTAGTCCTATCACTGGCCACCACTGAAAAGAGTCCGCCCCCTCCTCCTCCCTCCCTTCCTTGAGGTATTTATAGACACTGATCAGGTCCCCCCTCAGCCTCCTCTTCTCCAGGCTGAACAGACCCAGCTCTCTCAGCCTTTGCTCACAGGGCAGATGTTCCAGGCCTCTGATCATCCTCTTAACCCTGCGCTGGACTCTCTCCAGCAGTTCCCCATCCCTCTTGTACTGGGGAGCCCAGAACTGGACACGGTCTCCAGATGTGGCCTCACCAGGTGCTCATTCTCTTCTCAACCGAGTTCTGAAAGCCAGAGACCCCGTTTGCAGCTCCTAAGCAATTTACAGGCAGTCATTATTGGCTCTAACTGCATTGTAACTGTATTGCTCTGAAGACTGTTTTAAATAGAAGTTGCTGTACTTACCTGTGATTTTAATTCTGTTTACTTCCATATCAGAGTGCAGGGCCCAAACTCACAGCAAAAACAAATTGCCGATATGAAATTGAGTGGGTTACTGAGTATGCCTGTCACAGGGATTATCTGGAGAGTAGGAACTGTCTTCTCACTAATGAACAGCACGATATCTCCATAGACTTGAGACCACTTACTCTACCTTCAGGTAAACTCCTGAATTTTTCTGTGAATGGGATGTTGTTACTAGCAAGATTCTCTGCTCCATGTTTGGAGACTGGAGAAATAGTCTGTGCRGTAGCTTTTTTTATGTGTTTTGTTGTGTTTTAAATAGTTACTTTCTTCCTCATTCAGGATATGTAACACCATATTTAGCCAAAGATGATGACAAGGAGTATTACTATTACTTGAATATATGTGGGCAAACTACTGCAGGTAACTGCAAGGACAGCACAGGTTTTATTTCTTCTTGCCAAGTAAAACCTTCAACTAACCAGCRTAAAGTAGCAGGAAGATTTGAGAATCAAACCCTAAGGTATGTGAACAATTCTTTCCAATTCTTTCTCTTAGTTATTTGAATGGCTGTCTCTGCTTCCTAGCTAGGTGCCCTTATGTTAGCAATATACCATACCAAATATACCAAACAATATACCAAAAAAGGTTTTGCTCTGTATTTAGTTGAAAATAATTAAGTGTGCCAGGGTAGCATCAGCAGRTGAAGGAGCAAAGTGAGTTGGTGGGTTGCAGACTGTGTTGTGCTGTCCCYTGCCTGCCTTGGGTTAAGGCAACAGGTCATCAGGTTGGATATTTTAGAGGTTCTGCCCTCAGCAAGAGGAGGACACTTTCACTGCCTTTGCAAGAGCATGCAGTAAGCAAATGCAAGGTTTAAGAGGACTTCTTGGTTTTAAGAATTTGAAGATTCCAAGTGGTGTTTTGGGACRCTAGTTTATATGAGATTTCAAAGCGGAGATTCACACAAACATGACCTTTTATTCTGTCTGTGAGCAYGATATAGACTTGTGGGAACTGTCTTCCAGGGAGTATGAATTCTTCTAGCTACCAAAATAGCAATGTGATAAGCTCCAAGGAAGAGGTGTTTCACCACAGCTGGGAGAGCTGTAGAACACTGAAACTGTATACAAATTCATGCAAAATCACCAGAGAAAAATCAGTGGATTTCTTTTGCAGTAAAAATGTCAGTATTAACACTGAAACATGAGTTTCTTTTTCTCTGACAGGGAATCAAATATTTAGTAGTCAAGAATATGGCTTCTTTTAAATGGAGAACATTGCRTGATTGTGTTTAATCCCATTTTTTTTTTCCTATCTGAAACTGACTTTTTACTCAGATATTCTGATGGGGATCTCACTTTAATTTATCCAAATGGGGATGCATGTAGTTCTGGCTTTCAGAGGATGACTGTCATAAACTTTGAGTGCAATGAAACAGCAGGTGAGTGTAACAAGCTGCTGGCTGTGCTCAGTTTGATTCATGTGCTTTTATTAAATTAATAGACTATACATGCAACAGWATGCATGTTTTGCATGCCACAGTTACAGAATGCATGCTTTGAGCCACAAGAAATWTTTTTTTAGAGTAAGCACTAATTTTGTAGCTGGCAAGGTTGTTTTGTTCTGTGTGGTAATACTGCCATTCTAAAAACTAATTCTAAACCCTGAAAGAACCTGCTTTCTTARCCTACAGTAAAGATAAAGCATTTGGTTTGCTGACTTCCTTGCTTATTGTATATTATTTTTATTATATTTCCTCTTCTTCCCCCACCCGTCCTCCTARTAAGACTTCCGTTGTTGGAAACCTAATGTCTAAGTATCTATTTTTAATGTTAAGGTAACGATGGTAAAGGATCTCCAGTATTTGCTGGTGAAGTGGACTGCACCTATTTTTTCACTTGGGATACAAAATATGCGTGTAAAGAGGAAGAAGATCTCCTTTGCAGAGTTGCTGATGGGAGAAAACATTATGACTTATCACCTCTGATACGCAGTTCAGGTATGGCAGTATGAACTTGATTTGTTACTTGTGCCCCGAATTGGCATGCATCTCCATTGCCCATTACTATTCCTGAATTGAACACTACTCAGCTTTTGCTGCGTTGGTTTTCCATTCAGTTCCCTTTTCTCAAAAGTGACTGCCTTTTGAAAGCAGCAGTGTCCATGAGTACCTTGATTCCTGTCATCTTCAGCTATTTTAAATCGGGGGTAATTTTTTAGTTTTTAATGTGATAAAAGGTGTTTTGGAGTGGAGAGGCTGGACTGATTAAACAAGGCAYCTTATTCTTAATGACTGTTTGTATTTCAGAGTTTGCCCAGAATTGGGAAGCTGTGGACAGTAGCCTTTCAGAGGTGGGAAGGAATCATTATTACATCAATGTCTGCCATAAAGTGCTGAGGAAAGGAGGAGCTTCCAGCTGTTCAGATGTTGCTGCTGTTTGTGCTGTAGGTGAGTCTCATACTACATTTTTTTTCTCTGAAGGTTGCCACTCCCCCTGTAAATGGAATGCTACTGCACTTGAATAACTGAAGGCACTCAGGAAAGAGCAGTTAATGAGCATGTTTCCCTCATGCTCACAGAGAGCTCAGAAGAAATGATTTAMGTGGCCTTTTCTAACTAAAGAATGTTATGCACTCTGCTTCTGGCTCTGTAGCACAGTTTGAGAGGTTCAAAACAAACTTGGAAGGATATGATATTTCTGTGTCTTTTGGTCAGATAGATAGTGTTTCTCTGGAAAGAAATGAAATTTATAACAACAAAAGCGGTGTGTTTTAATCTCTTTGCAGATAAACAAAATGTGAGCAAGAATCTTGGAACTTATGCTTCTTCTCCTAAAAARGTTGGAGAAAATATTCAACTTACCTATTTAAATGGTGACACCTGTGGCAATAACAAAAAAATCAAAACTGTCATCACACTTGTGTGCAGACCAGGTGAGAATATCGRCGTTTTGTTCTCTGAGTCAGTTAAAGCTGGATATGCAATATGCCCCAGGCATAAATACTGTATTAGATGTCTTCATCTTTTATTTCTTTGTACTGCTTACTAGGGTAATAGCAATGCCATTGCAGGTGTTTACCTCTGTCTTAYCTTTTTATACAAAAATCATGAGTGTCTCAAACTCTGAAGGTGAAGATATGTCCAAGTGCTTAAAGTTCCATAAATATGTGGAAGTTATAAAGCCTTTGCAAGCCATAAAAATAGTCTTTACAGAGCAGACCTCTGTCTTAATTGAGACCAGATACTTTGCCCTTTTACAATAAGTGTATCTTGCTTATAAAACACATTTAAAAAGACTATAAATATTGTTTGTGTTACTCTTCTATGTAATAGTCTACAAGTTTAACTATCTCTCAGAGAAATACTTCTCCCTGAGTTGTTCTACCTGCCCCTGAGGGAGCACAATCCTGAGCGTGCTAGCTAGTAGGATCAGGTTGTGCACTAGTTATTGATAAAGATGTTGCTTTATAGCAAAACACCAGGTTTGAGTGTTACAGTACTTACTCTTTGAGTGCTGGGGAGGGACTGAGCAATTAATCCCTGAATAAACTTTTCTTACCCTGGGGAGGTGAAGTGTGCTTTTTAATGTGAAGAAAAAAATTGATCTTTATTGTGAAGATGTGTTTTAATGGTTAATTTTGACACCTGATGCAGGAGGCAGGCAGGGTTCTGTGCTCTAGGCTTAATTCATTATTTTGCTGGTAGTTTGGTTATGCTGTATATGATTCAAGACTTTGCTCTTATTTACCAGGTGATCTAGAAAGTGCTCCTATCTTAATTTCTGAGAGTGCATGTTCATATGCCTTTGACTGGTATACTGCTGCTGCGTGTGTCCTGTCTAAAACCGAAGGAGAAAATTGTCAAGTCTCTGATTCTCAAGCAGGTATGTATTTGTGTTGGTTAAGTTGAAAGATGTTTTGAAGAGCAGAGCTTGTGCTATAGCACTGAGCCATCCTGAGGTGCAAGAAATAAAGCAAGTTTGGCATAAGTATAAATCTGCTGTGTCTAAATGACGTGCTTATCCACACATACGAAAGATCAGAGTAGCATGAGCTTAATATTAATGTGCTGCGGATGTGCAGACAGAATGGATGTAGCTCATTCCTGACTATAGTAAATCTTTCTGTGAGAACATATGTTCTCATTATGTCCAAGCTGCAGTATTTATGGAAAATACAATTGCATRAAGGGGAACTTACCCAAAGGGAAGGTCAGCTATCTGTGTGACTAGTAAATCAGGATCTGTGAGATGGTGAGGAAAAGGCAGATCTGATGAACTTTGTACTGAATAAAGCTTTATTCCTTACTGATTAGGCTTCTCTTTTGACTTATCACCGCTGACCAAGAATGATGGATTCTATGTGGTTAATGCTACTGGATACTTGTTCTATATAAACATCTGTGGSAGTGTGCCAGAAGAGCTGTGTCACACCACATCAGCAGCCTGCCAAGTAATGCAGGGGTGAGTAATAGCTCTGTTGTCTGTAACAGAAGAACTCCTGTTGCATGAAGTGTTGTCTGTGTAGCACCGAGCAACTTGGCCATAAAACACTGTGCTACCTGTAATAGAACCAGGTAATCTGCATGTAAAGTAATTATGTGGTGGTATACTAATTGTGCTGTCAGCTGTTTCAAGCTAAGTATACACCTGTGTGATTTAGCTTACAACTTGCTCTTGGGCTTTAACAAAAGTGTCCATTGCTACCCGTTGTGTTGGCTGTAGGTGCCTTAAGCTATGAATTAACCTTTGTAGCTATATCGAGCCAACCCACAGCTCTAATTCAAGGTCAATTGGATTTCCCAGGCAGTATATTGGCTTAGAAGCACGGCTGCCCAGGCTAGCCTGGAAGAGGTGGAGGAAACGATCGTAGAGCTTGTGTTGAACCATGTCTCTGTTGTTAGAAATGCTGTGTGGGCACAGTCTCACTCTGCAGTACTGCTTTAGTTGATAGGAGATTCAGTAACGCTACTGTTTGTGATGGTGTTTGTACAACATAACAGGCTGACCTGAAAACCTCTTGCCAGAGGTGTGGCACAATGTAAACATGTGCAGCTGCTACTTCAGTTTACTTAGAATTAACTTCTCTAGGTAGGGAGAGGTCACTGCTGACCTTAAAAGTGCTCCCAGGTGAGTGGTCAGGGTAGGTGTGACAGAACCAGCATTAAATCAGAGTAGAACCTCTCCCAGACTGCATATGGATATGTGTAGAAGTAACAGCATGTGAAGACAGTTTTCTTTCTTGAATGGGAAGATTTATATAGAGCTTCACTGTTTTCCTGTATTTGGATGAAAATAATTTGAGCTCAGAGTGGAATGTCTGCAGTTTGAATTCTGTTCTAGAGAATGGGAATGTGGTGTTGCTGTCTTGTTTTGGAATATGGAGTTAGTGTTTTGAATATCCAAGCAAGAAACACATTCCTTTATCCTCTCTTTCAAAGGACACCTGAACGTCTTAAGCTTTCTTTTGGCAGCACTTTACTGTAGTTGCTTATGTCTGGGTATCCTCTTGTCTAATCCTCTTGTCTAATTACAGTATTTCTGTAGATGTGCAGGGTGTAAGATGTCTGAAGAGAACTTAATTTGAATTCTGTTCTGTCTCCAAGCCCACTCTTTTTTTCTTCTCTCCCTTTAGTACTGATCAGTCTTGGAGTTTGGGACTGCCTAGTTCCAAACTGACCTATTATGATGGGCTGATTCAGCTGACCTACAGAAATGGTACAGCATACAATGATGAGAAGAAAACACAACGTGCTACCCTTATAACTTTCCTGTGTGACCATGAGGCTGGAAAAGGTCAACCTGAGTATCAGGTAGGCAGTTCTAAATGAAGTCGGGGAGGTGTTCTGTCTGAAAGGAGAGGCTCTCCATGCCTAATTCGGTGCAACAGAGATTCACGGATGGAAAAACAAAAACGGTATCTCTGATGCAGATTGCTAATGAAAATGCTTCTACTTGTGACTGCTTCTTGTTGCAGCTGTAAAGCTTATCTTGCTCACTGAGCAGTAAGCTGTTGACCTGGATCCAGGCTCCTACTTCACTATTTTTAACCTCTGGATTGCAAAGCTACCATTACTTTTGAGTCTCTATATTTCTGTCTGGGAAACAAAACAAAAGCAAAATGCTTTTTGGCTGCAATAGTACAAGCAGTAGCTCCTGTAATGTGGCAAACAGCACTTACGTTGCTACTGTTATTAGGAGACTTGGCCACACAGCAGGGAAACATCTATTAATAATAAGACAGAACTACACAAATCAGTCTGAGAAAGTGTATCCCAAAGCCAAGGGAAGACATAAGCTTAWTACAATTGAGTAGCCTTGCTTCACAGCATAGTTTCTACAAGCCACACTGAACTATTGTGGTCTTTTTTTTAGGTAGAAGATAACTATACTTACAACTTCAGATGGTACACTGAGTATGCCTGTCCTGAAATACCTCTGGAATGTGTTGTGACTGATCCCAACACCATGGACCAGTATGATTTGTCAAGGTATGAAAGCACCATGTGACTCTTAACTGTGGGTTTGGCTCTTCTAGCCGTGTTCTCACTAGTGGCTGGGGTGGCCAGCTGCTTAKTGCTTGCTGAGGTCTGCTGCACAAACAACGCTAGAAACGTCATCTTTGGTAACATCTTAACTGCYGCTCTCCTGCAATTGAAAGAATATTTCTCTGTAACAAACTGRTATGTCTTGTAAAATATTGACTGACATTTTTGGGTTTTTCTTTTTTWAAAAAATACATAKACATAAAATATATAAAAACATTATTTTAACTCCCTTCTTTCTTCGCTTTCTGGGAGGTTCTTAACTGCAACACTTAAATGGGGAGGGAAAAGTTGCTTGGAGTGTGTGTGTTCTTAGTATGGAACTTTCTCCCACTCAGCTTAGCAAAATCAGAAAGGAGAGGTGAGAACTGGTATGCTATGGACAACTCGAGACCAGGCGAGCGCAAGAAGTACTACATAAACGTGTGCCGGCCCCTCATTGCCGTGCCGGGCTGTGATCGGCGGGCGTCCGTCTGCCAGATGGARTATCAGCACGATCACGTGAGTAGCCTTTGCATCCCCGCTCCAAGCTGGTTGGCTGACTGCGTGAGATTAAGGCTGTGTAAGGTAGACACAAGAATTCTGTTTCCTTGGTGCAAGTAGTGATATCCTAATTATTGACCTAGTTGCTGCAGAATGATCCATCTCCCAGTAAATGTCCTTCTCCTCCTGAACCCAAAGTTTAATTCTTACAAGTACACAAATGTGGTCTCTTATATGTGCTTCTCTTGTCTTCATTTCTGAGGCAGTCAAAGTGTATCTGTGTATGACAGCTACAGAAACACTTTACATATTTGTTATTAGTCACAAAACGCAGTACTGCAGACACCTGCTTCAGTGGTCTGCTCACACTTGTGTAAGCAGAGAAGACTGCAGTCTCCAGGACTGTCACCATTACCTTAGGAACATGCTGCTCTTGAATGCTGTGTCTTACTTCAGGCCAGGATTACATTAAACCGTAGAAAGTGTTTAAAGATTGCTAGCCATCCAATTTTGAGCTGTCATCAGCTTTGAGGAATAGATTAGGCAGATTTCAGTGGGGGAGATATTTGGGCCGTTCTCTTCCAYTTTCTTATCTCCCTGCAGTGTAACAAGTCTTTGTGGAACTCTGCTCAMATCTGCTGGGCAAGTTTTACCAAAGCATCATCAATTTTATTTTATTTTTTTTTAATGGAGGCGATGCTTTATGGTGTGGGAGAGAACATCAGAGTGACTGAATGTGGTACATCGCCATTCTGACCCTTGAGCTCAGTAATAGTTTCCGTAGTTCCTTGTCTGGGCTTGTCTTAGTCCTCGTTCTGTGAAGCTACTTGTTTTTTACATAGATGCACACTAGTAGAATTTCATTGCTGAAGATACAGCAGTAAATAAGCATTGGGAGACAAATGCAGAGCTCTAAACAAAGCTGAAGACTTTAGTGTGGAAAGAACTCTTCTGGAAGTGTATTCTTCTGCTTGTGTTGCCATTAAAGTAGTTTCTTAAATAGGAAACACTTGCTATTCTCCAGAAGCGAAGACTTGTTTGTACCTGTGTAGTTTCAGCTGCTACTGTCTGCTGGTTTACAGCTGTTCTTGCTAATGCATTTCAGACCKTAAGCATGTTGCATTCCTAAGGTCAGTTCCAGGCCTTCCATCTGCTGTGTTTTATGAGCTATATGAATTACATAAACCTCATGTTCAGCAGCTGCTATGTTTTACCAACTTCCTACTTCTATTCTGCATGGTTATGAGTTGAAGCTGCTGTGGACACTATAGGCACTTTGTTGTGAAACAAAGCTATCTATGGTGCTTACCTATTAAACTTGAAAAAAATGAGTGAGACGGAGGGAGACCTCTTCAGCTCTCACTTGCTTTCACAGCTTTCTTAAGCTTCTGTAAGCTGCTTCTGTAAGCAACGTTGTTGTGATATGTAGTTTCTGCATTTGATTATATCTGTAAATACTTCTGTATGAGTTTAAGAATTGCTGACATACCTTTTTTTTTTAATTTCTAGGATTCTTTCTCTGAAGTCACATCTATTAGTAACCTTGGTGTTGCCAGCAAAGAACTGGTAGTTGAAAGACCTGGTCACATTTCTCTAACTTACACAAGTGGCTCTGTATGCAATGATGCTGGTAGAAATAAAACTTCTTATAATACCACTATCCACTTCACCTGTTCCAGAGGCACTCTTGTAAGGACAAAAAACTTCAAATTTTTGCTTTATAGTAGATTTTGTCATATATTGTGAAGTTACATGAAGTAGATAAGTAGACCTCTAGATGTATAGATCCTTTTTCATAGGATATCCTTAAAATGAAGATGAAATACAAAGCTGGCTTAGATGCTAGAGCTGTGTATTTGGGTGTCTTTCATCATAAATTTAACATAGTAACTGCGGTCATTAAACTTGTTAGTTTTTAACTAGTTGACAGTGATATTTCAGGCTGGTCTAAGTAGCATAAAAATGCAGAGGGAGAATACTGTAAAGCCTATCTGCAGGCTTCGATTCTGCATCTCTGCTGATTCTGGGTGAGTTCTTGTGTGAAGCAGAATCAGCTAAAGCATTGCGCACTGAAGCTGAGATTGAGGGGGACTATTAGATTAGAAGCTTGCCAAACCTACTTTGTTGTTGATTTATGGAGTTGCAAATAATCCTCTTGGTTGGTAAAGAACTATGGCTTTGTAGCAGTTAAACTGTACAGCATTGCTTTTGCCTGAAAATGCTGGAAGATGTATATAATATGCCTGTTAAGTGAGCAAATATGCTACTGTCACGTGCTTGACACTTTTTCTGACTCCTTGTCCTCCAATGGAAACGCTCCAGCCCTGAAACTCCTCAAGTCTTAGACTGAATCAGGGTCTGGTTATGCATGTCTTAATTCAGTATATTATTTCCTAAAACTTCACGACATGCTCAGTGCTTAGACCAAGTATTTAGTAGTGACATGCAAAAGAAATTGAGATGGGATTGAGATGAAAAATGTACATCTAAATTAAATACACACTTGCAATGAAGATTTTTAGGAAAAAAAATACAACTCCTTATAAAGGAGAATCTCAAAGATGAGAACATGTTGGTTCTTAGTTCTTATTTGTTTTGGTTCTGATTTATTCTGTTTCCAGAGTASCAGTCCACGCTTTATAGCTATTCAGGAATGTGTGGCCACCTTCTTGTGGGAAACTGAAGCTGCTTGTCCAATCAAGAAGACAAAAGATGATTCTCAGGTGAGAAAAAAAAACAACTATGAGACCCTACATGCTGTTTTCTTTAGCACTCCTGCTTGCATCATTTAAATAACTCAGGGGAAGCAGATTACAGGAAAGTGAAGCTGATCATGATGCTCCATTTTGCAATTTCTTCATGTTTTCTTCATGGAGTGTTCATGAAATACATAACCTCTGACCATAACCTCTCAGTGTCCTCTCAAGAGAAAGCAGCTTACCACAAGATGAAATACTTCATTCAGTTACAAGGCTGCTAGCACAACTGAGAGTGTACATAAGAATTGTTTGTGTGCCTGTCTGCAGAATGAGACCTACAGATTTTTACACAGCTACTCACTTGCTTCTGTGTAGCAGCTCTCATAAACATTAGTGTAGAAATAATCCTCATTTGAACTTTCCTTGTTCTTTGCTAGCCTGGTGAATGAAGCCTGTTAAATAGCATTTTAATATACTTTGGTATCTTGACGTGTAATGAACAACAGTGCTAAGGGGTTGAATAAGGAGTTGCTACTGCTGGAACTATATTCTGATTACCATAATCAAGTTGCTGCTTGGCATGCAGGATACAACCATGTATAAATCACTTCTCTGGTTCTTTCTACAAGTGAGATGACATAGAACTTAACAAATGGGAAAGGGGAAAAATAATAGCTTTATTTTCCTTTGCAGTCTTGTTCTGTGCGAGATCCAAACAGTGGCTTTTTGTTCAATCTGCAGCCATTRGCTACTGAAAAAGGCTATATGGCTAGTGGCATTGGGAAGAATTTCATGGTAAGGATTCTATTCCTATATGGCTGTGCTTATRGATGCTGTTGCATTTTATCCAGTCTTAGCTGACGAAATGAAGCTTAGGTTAAATGCTCGTAGGAATTTTGAATAGATAAAGTTCAGTGCTTGGGGGCTAGAGTTGAAGTGTGGTGTGTGTCTGTATCCCTCCCACACCACTTCTCACCCTCTCCCCCAGATAAGTGTTYAAAAAAAAAAAAAAGTCTTYCAAACCTTATGGTTCTTAGGAAAGATAAGTTAGCCATGCTTTATCTGTAGRCTGTGAATGGCATTCCAATTATGAACTCTGTTACATCATGCTAGTTTATCTGCTAATGCTAAATGAAATGGTGTAAGCCTAGGAGGGGAATTAATTTATCCTTATCAGTCATCATAATCTGACCTGTGTGTCTCATTACTCCTAGATGGTCCACAGGTGCTGTCATAGGGCTTTTTAGTCTAAGAATAAACTTGATAAACTATGTCCAAACATAGTGGGAAGAGCATGTGGACACTTCAAGTTGAAGACTGAGAATATTATTGTTTTTATATAGCTAGCTGTTTTGCAGTCTAGAATGAGAGATGTTTCATATTTGAAATTGTTCTTGATGAGTTGTTGATGTAGAAATGATTATGTAAYGTCTTTAACATAATGAATATTAATCTCTAAATTAATATAAACACAAAAAATTGTTTATACCYTTGTCTCTTTCACAACTTCTAGCTAAACATTTGTGGGCCCATGCCAGATTGTGGTAAAATCAATGGAAAACCGGCTGCTGGATGTGAAGCTGAAAACATGACGTCAGTGAGGACTGTGGAATTGGACAAAACCCTGTATCTGTCTGCTGAAGGGTTTCTAACTCTAACCTACAGAGGTCCTCTTAATGTGCAATTAGGTGAGCTCAGGAGCTATGCACTGGACTTTCACGTTGACACTGTAGTAGCTTTCTGTAAACTGCCATTGTAATTCACGCAATAAAGTTTACTGTGTTTGACACTATATAAGCTATTTTGTGCAAGAAGTTTAGGAAGGAAATTAATCTTTGTGCCGAATGGAAACTGGTCAGATTTCTCTAATATGTGTTTTTCAGAACTTTTGGACCAAATACAACACGTGATGCTTTTCATCCACTTAATAAGAAAAAGTCCTCTTTGCAGAGAGAAATTGATAGTTGGATTGGGAAAACAAGCRAAATGGCCTGTCTCGTTTCCAAACAAAGTTGCTGCTTTGAAATTCAGTATCATGAATAGCTCTCTAAACTCGAGTAGTTGAGAAATGATTTTTCAAATGTAGAACAGCTTAGTATCTCATGTACATTTCATGAATTTGAATCTTTAAGTCTGTTTTACCAGGAAAAAAAAAATGTACATTGAGTTTTTAGACTCTTACGCTGTCCAATTGGGCTGAAACTGAGCAGCTGTATGCCTTCATATTAAAACTTAAAGAAGAGTTTTAGGAAAAATGGGTTTAATATTCAAGAGCCTTAGGTACTCCAGGATGTTGGTCTTCTACACAGATTGCTTTGAYGCTTGTTGCTCTCTGCTCAGCTGTGATACTTTAGCATCAAATATACAGTATAAAACAGGGGATTGTGTTGTCACGTACCTTGTTTTGAAAGCTTCTACAGTTCTAACTACTCTAGGATATGTCAGGAATAATTACAAATTTCCATATGTTGCTTGAATAGCATCTTTTTGTAGGTATTCTGGATCTTCACTTAGATTAAAGGCAGTTCAGAGGTTGTAATTATGATGCTGAAATGTGTGAAGGCCTTCTGTCTCCCATAGAAAGTCAGTTGAGACAGCTGTTTTAATACAGGTTTCTAAAGAAGCCTTATTCATACAAAAAAAAAAAGACTCTTAAACAGTAAGATAGTTTTCTACGAAGCATTTTTTTTGGAAAAGCTGCTAAAAATTTTTTAAGTTAAACTTCTATTCAAATATCTCTGTCTGAACCAGTGCTAGATAAGTGTTTGTTTTACAGGAACATCGGACACATTCACCATTACTTTCATCTGTAATGATTCGTATCCTGGGGAACTTAAGTTTGTGCGTGAAGAGATAAACAGTGCACTGAACATCCATGATACTTTCTTTGAGTTTCACACAGCTCTGGCCTGTGCTCCTGCTCCTGTAGATTGCCAGGTTACAGGTAAGTAGCTGGAATTCAGGTGGGTTCCAAGTAACAAATCTTGGAGGGATAAACTGAACAGCAGAAACTTTTATGGATAACAATGTTTAGGATGGAGATGGAGGCATCTCTTCTGGAGGYGCTTGGATGTCTTTATAGAAATTGTGTAGAGGGAGGTGAGGTAACAGTTTGAGAGCAGATTTAACTTAAGAAAATAAGTTAAAAAATAATATTGAAAATATAGATGTGCATGAAAAGGCTAATACCTACTTTGAAAAAACCCTAATCCTTATTGTGATGCAGTGCTTCAGTCCAGCCTTTGAGCCAAAATGTGACTGTAAATTGTGAATTGATAATCTTGGTACCTGTATAAATKGCTTATTGTGGAGGGAATGCTGCTATTCTGTTTTGTAGTGACATCTTCTATAGAAACTTTACTTTCCCTTGGGTATGCAATGATATTGTGAAAAACAGACTTTGTATATTCATCAATGAAACTTTACCCTTTCAAACCCAATGTTGCTACAATTATCTAATGATGGTGTTTCAGTTTACTGCATGCACCACATATCTTTCAGATGCTGCTGGCAATGAGTATGACTTAAGTGACTTGAGCAAAGAAGGTGAGCCGTGGATTGCTATAGACACTTCAAAGGATGCAAGGAAGCGAACCTTCTTCTTGAATGTTTGCAAGCCTTTGCCTTATGTGCCTGGATGCCCTGGTAAGTCAAGTGGGAAGTGTTTGGGGCTTTTGGTGCAATGTCTTCTAGGTATTGAATGGGTTTTCTTGTATCTTGCCAGCTCAGTTGCTGAGCTTGACATACATTTTACAGGTCTATGTAAGGCTAAAATAAGGCACTACAAAACCATATGCAGAGCAGTCCTACTATTATTTGGGACTCCTGCATATTGAGAGTGTAGAAACACATTTGGGGAAAATACTTGCAAATACTGCCTTCAGTATACCCTAACCTTTCTGGAAAGGGGAGAGGAGAGAGTTAAATATTGAAGCTTCCTAGCTCAGAATGGAACCTCAATGAAAAGCTTGACATGTCCTATTTCAGCTCCAACTTTAATTTATTTAGTCTGCTGTTYTCTAACCTACATACTACCTGCATCTAACCTGTATAGTGTGTGGAAGCAGCTAAATTAAAGTGTAATTCCAAAAGCACAGTGATTTGAGGGTAGTCACTTGTTTTTCTCACAGGCTTTMGGCCCACAATGACTCAAGCTAGAATTTAAGCTCTTGTTATGTTCTGCTTCAAGTGTTTGAGCCAGTCTGTTTTGATGTTCAAAGTTCTCCTGAAACGATGTTGTTACACTATCTGATGATAAAGTTGTCAAAGCTTGACTGAAGTATTTTGTTCTCTTGTTCCTGTAGGTGGTGCAATAGGATCTTGTGTGAAATACACTGATAAAAGCAAGAACCTCGGTGTCATTCAGATAAATCCTCAGGCTGCTACTGATGGGTCTTTAAGCATTATTTACTTGAATGGAGACACGTGCAAAGATAACCAACGTTATTCTACACGTATAATCTTCCAGTGTGATCAAACAATGGTAACTTTCAGTGTCAATAGCCATTAATAAGGACTTAAGAGTGTGGACTTACTGTATCAAAGTAGGCATTTTCTTTGGAATTAAGGCTTATTTTAGCAACCAGTATCTTATAGGCTTTTCTTTCTTACAACCACTTTCCTGAGTGCTTCAAACACACCACTGACTTGATACAATGGTACAGTACTATTTACCAAAAGCAATGCTCTGTTCAAAATGAGTACTGAAATTTGCTGATCAGTTTTTAAATTGTGCAAATGCTTAAAAAGATTCATCTCTTGAAACTTGCTATGTAATTGCTAGTAAGCTTTATGTTGCTTCTCTGTAGGGATCCCCAGTGTTTGAGCAAGAAGATGACTGTGAATATGTATTTGTCTGGAGAACCTTGGCAGCTTGTCCTGTTCACAAGGCAGAAGGTAGGTGTATTTTGTTTTAACATATAAAGCAAATCTACACAGTAAATGCATACTGAAGCTATTTTTTTCCCTGCAAATCTTTCTGAAAAGATGCTGACTTCAGAAGGAAAAACTTTTCTGAATCATAGTCAATTGAAACTGCACATCTGACTTTAAAGTACACTTAGGATGAGAGGCAAATAGACTTTCTTGTCTGTGAAAGATGAAAGCACTAGTGCAGTCTCCTTGTACCAAACCACAGTGCTGCTTTGGGAAACGACAGCCAAGGTGTTAGCGGCTTGTAAATCTCAGCAAGCATTGAGTTTTACAAAGATGAGATTGAGCCTATGCCTGTTGGTCACTTCCTTGTTTGTGTCTGGAGAGGCTGTAGTATCAACTTAATCCTTATTAGATGACAGAGGTAAAAGGGGAGGCTATTGATTAGCGTTTATAGCTGAACCTAGGACATACAGGAGGCAATCAATTGGCTCTCAGATGAGATGCTGAGTGTGCAGATATCTTCTGCCTTTGCAGGCTTTATTTTGGTTTGCAATTCTTAGTTTATACCTTATTTCAAACTACCAGACTTCCTGTGAGGTATCTGTGTCACAAGTCCTGTACATAGTTGAAACTGTCGGTGTTCTTATGTGGCATAGGAGAGATACTTACAAACTACTGCTCTGCAGTATGCACTTACTGCGCAGGTTGAATGTAGAGCTGAGATTTTGAAGGGAACAAAATTGAAGTCCTGACTCTTACTTGATACTCGGTTATTGGGTAATTTGAGCCAAGCGTAGTAACCATGCGATACAGCCTGGTGGTTTTATAAGAGTTTCAAAATATTGAACCAAGGGTCACTTTAAAACTGAAGGCTAGAAAAGTAGCAGGTTACTGCTGTGTATCAGAYTGACCCTTGAAATTAGAGCTTCCCCAAAGCTTTTTCTATGCACATCTTACGCCCTTAAACTGTAGCTAACAATTCATGTAGTCAGTTATTTGCTAACTCAGCGGACTTTGTAACAGTTAAAGGAGGATACAAGACTTGCATCAAGCACAAATTTTGCTTCTGTCCTGTGACCTCACTGTTCTTTCCAGATGATTAAGTGCTGATCTTAGCCTCTCTGAGAAAAGAACCTGTGAGGCCAGTTTGAGACAATTTTTGAACTACAGTGTAACTTTTTGCCTCTTACTTTAGTAGCAGTAATAAAAAATTACCTCATTTGTAGCTTAAGCCTCATTATTCTAGATCTTAATGACTTCCTCGAACAATCAGCTTAGCTGGACTAAATGAATTCTGTAGTGTCATGCCTCTGAAGTGCTGACTAATCTTTTTTTTTTGTGGTCTTAGTCATGCSAGGAAGCCTTTGTTTTCTAAGCATACACAGCATGGCTTGTAGATAATGAATTTTATTTTAAATCCATAAAATCCTTTTCTTTTAAAGGAGATAATTGCCAGGTGAAAGATCCAAGATATGGTCATGTTTATAATCTGAAGCCACTTTCCAATAAGGACATAAAAGTGAGTACAGACGAGTACGACTACTACTTCAGAGTCTGTGGGGAGATATCAGAGTCTTGCAGACCAGGTGTTCATGCAGTATCGTCGTGCCAAGTAAAGAAGATGGACAGCACTTTCAGAAAAGTAGCAGGTACAGCACTTGAATTTGAGAATGAATGTGAAGGCTGGGAGGATGGGCCTCATGTAGTGCAGTACCTTCAGTTGCACCTTGTTCTCCTTGCATATCACGTGTGCTAAGTGTTATAGCAGTCCTTGTAACCCCACTGCAGATGCTTTATGTGCATAGACTCGATTAGGGATTTACCTTGTGTGTGGTTTTTCTTTTTGCTTTTAGGATTACATACAGATAAGCTGACATTCAAAAATGGTTTAATAATGATAAATTATACTAGTGGAGAAAAATGTCACAAGATATATGAACGCTCAACAGCCATATTATTCTACTGTGACAAGACTACATCAGAGGTTAGTTTCAGACACTTTCTGTATGTACTGTCTTTCAGTGTTGCCCTTTAATGTGTGGGAGCGTGAGGTGAAGAACCTGAATTTGCCTTTTCTAAGGTCTGCCTAATCGTTTGCTCATTTGGCTGTAGATGGAAAGTTCCTGTGAGATAATAGAATCATCACCAAATGGTAGCTTGAATTCCCTGCTTGAACTACTTTCCCCATTCCCTGGGAAGGCCATGGTATGCTCCTCCTTTAAGGGATGACTAGAATTAGCAAAACTCTTTTTAAATGTTATAAAGGGATATTCTCACAGAAATAAGAGCAGTCCCTTTGCAAAAACTACAAGGTTTGAGGATGAATCTGTAGGAAAATAGGTATTACATGACCCGAACAAAATAAGGCAGTTACTTATCACTTTTAATAGCTTGTTCTTTGTTTATGTGCTTTCCTTCCTGTTCTTAATGATATGAAGGGTTACCCTTGCTCTTGCATGGGTTGCCCTTCCTGATTTCACAGATGAGGCAGTGATTCCTAATGGTTGCTCTGTTGCTTGAAGAGTGTGTGGGACTCAACCCAGGTTTGGAAGAAGCTGTGCTCAGACACACAGTACATCTCTAAGAATGTGTAAATACAAGTTCTTGGTAGCTCCTATAGGTCTGAGAAGTAAGTTTCTTCCTAACTTTTATTTCAGCCAGTCTTTTTGAAAGAAACTCCAGACTGCACGTACATGTTTGAATGGCACACACCATATGCCTGTCCACCTGTCAAATCTGCTGAATGTTCTTACAAGTAAGTCCAGTTTTGATCACTTAAATTGGGACTGTGTGGTGACAAAAATGGACATAGTCTTATTGTGGTTGGTTTGTTTTGATGTAACTAATTGCCAACTGGCCTAGTGTTTCAATGCTAATATATTTAAAATGTCTTTTAATAATGCAAGTCTAATTTCACCAAATGTGTATTCCCATCTCTAGAAGATAGTCAAAGATGAAGTAGCTGTGGGGTTATTGGTGGTTGAACTTTGAATGTTTGTTACAGATGTCTAGTTACTATTTAACTATTTCAAACAAAAATACTATTGTTTGCCTGGAACTTTCATCGAACAAGGTTGTGCTGCTGAGAACGCTATTTACTGTTGTCAAGACCAAGTATTAGCTCATTAAGGTTTAAATAGGCAGGGTCAAGTGCAACTGATAACTGTCTAGGAGAGTTTGGTATGGTGAATAAGCTTCTACCCTATAGTAAAGCAATCTACTATAACTGCAGTTGTGCTTGGCATACCCTGAAAGACTGCATGCCTCAATGACAAGATGAAATTCCTCTCATGTTGGCCATGGGTTGTGTGCACATGGACAGTTGTAGACTGGCTGATGTGCAGTGATTTATCTTGACACTGAATTTAAGGTTTGTGGGAATGAGTGAGGCTGGTGTAGGCTTCTTACCGTGGTGCTTTGCTTGTAGGGTTACTGTGTTTAACTGTTGGAAGTTATAATGCTTAAGCTACTAGGTTTTAGAGACTTTTAAATGCKTTCTTTCTATAAATTGTTTGTTGTCCCTTTTTTAGGGACAATGAAGGAAACTTCTACGATCTTTCATCTCTGACGCGGCATAGAGAGAACTGGGAAGCTACAACTCTATCTGCTTCTAAGCATAAATATTACATTAATGTCTGCACATCCTTAGTGCCATATCATACTGCACGTAAGATCAAACTAAAAATGTGTTCTAGCTGTGGTTTGAGGTAGAGTGAGTAGTAGAACACAAGCATTGAGAGGATGATTTAGAGAGTTGCTTGAAGATAGTCATGATGTAACTGAAATAATTTTATTCTAGGCAAGAAAGCTGTAACACCTTGAGTTGGTTTATTTCATCTGTATAGGTTTCTGTCCTTCTGATGCTGCTGCTGCTATTATGGATGGTGCAAAATGTACAAGTCTTGGAGAAGTGGCTGATGGTCCACAGTGGGAAAATGGCATTTCTGTTCTGAAATATGTTAATGGAGAGCAGTGCCCAGATAAAATTCGCAGGAAAACAACAATATTGCGCCTCAAGTGTGATGAAGACAGAATTGTAAGTGAGGTCCTGCTGGCAGGATTTTTGTCTTTTCCTGAGTTGTGTATATGAGAAGAATGGTGAGCAGTTTGTATGTATTTCCAAACCTCATCTCCTGTAAGTGAAAGGAAGGGAGACTTATGAGTGGAGTACAGGAGCAGCTGAGCAGTTCTAAAGAGATAATTTAGATAAAATCTGTAACAGCAGACTAGATGTAAAAGCTTCAATTTGTCAATCTATTTTAAAAATGAATATATTGCAGGCTAGGGAGTGTTCAGAAAAATCAATAATGCTATTGCCAATGTAGTTTTCAAACCCTTCTGGCAGCATGTCTTAGCCTCACCTGTGGGTTTTGTGTTGTCCCAGTACACTGTCTTTAACAGTTTCATAGTTCCTGATGATAGTTCTGTGCTGGTTTGTCTGTATGAAATTGCCTGGCACTTGAACTGAATTAAGCTAAAAGCTTCATAACCCTGTGACATGAAGTCTTACAGCATCGCTCTGGRGGTGTAACTCTCCGTTGTTTCACGTTTAGGAGTCAAACCCAGAACTTATAACGGCCATTGAAGACTGTGAATATACCTTCTTATGGTTCACGGCTGCTGCGTGTCCCCTGAAAAGCAACGTGCAGAGTGACTGCCGGGTAACCAATCCTGCCACAGGTACGGGGAAGGCGGGAGAACCTGATGTGCAGGGGAAGCTGCCGAGAGCAGCGCTGCTGCCTTTTGCTCTGTTAAGGGGCTTTAGAGAAAGGCAGCGTGGCAATCTGCTATGGACAGTGATTATCAAGCTGGTGGGCAGAAACATCCTGTGAGGTACTGCTGTGTTGCCCTTTGGGAAATAAACAAACGGTCTGTATGGAGTTTKCTTTATAGCTGTTCTAAAACTAGTTTTTGCCCCTAGTAAACAGCTAAGAACTCTTAGCAGACAAGAGAGTTTGGTTGACTTTCTAACTGAACTGAATTAAGTTTTCTAAAACAAAGAAATCTTGACTTTGATTCTACAAGAAGATTGAGCTCTTGCCTAATCTGCCGGCAGGCCACCTCTTTGATTTGACGTCACTGAAGCGAGAGTCTGGCTACACAATCTATGATTCACACAGCAGAAGAATCGAGCTGAATGTGTGTGCTGAAACTAAGAGTTTGTGTGCTAGTGGAGCAGGTAAGCATCTCTCCATCTCTGGTTCTATAGTCACAGGTTTTAGAGTATCTAGGGAGTTGTGCTCAAGTCTAAAATGTAAGGGAGTCAGGTTTAACTGAAAATGTGGAAAGTAAGAAAACAGTTGTGTGGTTGAATCAACTAGAAAAATCTGAAACTTTTAAGGAATGGAGTATTTTATTTCATATTACGTGCCTAACCTTAAGTGTGCCCTCTTCCTTGCCAGTTTCTGTAGTCTGGAGGGGCATTCCTATGGACCACAAAGACAGGAACGTAGACCTTTGTGTTGCATCTTTGACTTCTCTCACAAGGGAACACAATACGAGAGCAGGCTCGAAGGGGCAGAGAGCACAAATATTAGTGCATGCTGACCTATTGCTCTAGTGCATCTGTGTTCTGGCGTGGCAGGGGGGTAAAAACATGAAAGACAACTCTTACAGGGTTGTATTTTGTTTTAGACATTTTGGAAAGTTCACTAGAAGCTAACTTGTAACTTATTTTATTTTTTTTTGCTGGTAATGGCAAATTGGAGGGTCCTTCTATTGAATATGAGATAATATTTAAGCAACTTTAAGTGCCAAGATAAGACTATCACATGGATTTGCAAGATTATTTTCTGCATATTAATAAGAAAATATTATATTCTTACGGGCAACTTTATATATAATCGTGGTTGAGATTKAGCATTAATCCCATTGCTTTCAGACATCTGGTAACAGAAAGCTATACTTTGTTGTTGCCTAAATGTGCATAACTTATAGAATGTATAGCGTACACTTCCCTGGTTAACAATGTGTCAAAGGTGGTATTTGAACTGTGTTTATTGCAGCTCACCTTAATAGTTACAACAGACAGTTTGAACCAGCATTTAGGAAAATGAATGGAGACCAAATCTTAACTTTGCTTCTTTTTTGGAGGTGGYGGGATTCTTAGTCATGTCTTCCCTATCTTCCTCCTGCAATTCACACAGATCACTTTGTACTATGTAAAGGATTGTTGTAGAAAAGCTTGGTCACTTGTCATAGAGCTATTTACAATTGTTTAACTGTGCAAAGGAGTACTTTACTCCTTGCAAGGAAAAACTTGGATTTGTCCTTCAGCCATCCTGCTTCATGCAAAGATCATGTTGTAGAGTAGCTGTTCAGTGTAATTTGGAAGGGTGATTGWTCTGCTTTGTCTCTTGTTTTGTTTACACTTCAGGCGTTTGCATCACTGCTGGCTCAAAAATAATTAATGCAGGAAAAATAAGCAAAACTTTAACCTATGAAGATCAAGTGTTAAAGCTTGTTTATGAAGGTGGAGATCCTTGCCCTGCAGACCCTAATCTGAAGCATAAAAGCTATTTTAGCTTTGTTTGCAAGTCTGATGCGGAAGACAGCTCTCCTGTTTTTCTATCCCTTGATGAGCAGACATGCACTAACTACTTCTCGTGGCACACTTCCTTGGCTTGTGAAGAGGAGGTAAGAATTACTTCTAGAAGACATCGATTGTGGGATTGTTTTCAGTGGTTTAGGCATAGCTGCAATGTGTTGTAAAGTCATTGAGAGACAGGCCACTTCCTGTAGCAGAGGAGACAAAAAGTTCTCCATTCTTCACTGGGACTTCTACAGCAGAGCTATTGTTTTATYAGATTTCTGGTGAGCGTGGTGAGCAAATCAAAGTATTAACCCTTTAATCAACGCTTGTGTGAAATAGTTTCTCAGGAACTGCAGTGCTCAAGCCAGTGCTGGAGGCTGCCTGCTGAAGACTTAGCTCTTGGTGTTATTTTGATATAGACTCCATAAGTATGTTTTTAAGAATTACTGTCGTGAGTGGCTTATCTGTAGCCAACAAAAATTGCAACAAATGCTTCTTTGCTTGAATCATATTTGAGACTTAAAAGCAACCACGCTTCTTGTCTCTAAAGTGGATAGCAATGAAACCTACCTTTTTTGTAGGTGAAGTGCTCAGTGTTGAATGGGAGTTCCGTTATTGACCTGTCTCCCCTGATCCATCGCACTGGATACTATGAGGCGTTTGTGGATGAAGCTGCAATGGATGCTTCTCCAGACTTCTACATCAATATTTGTGAGCCTCTCAATCCTATCAAAGATGTTGATTGCCCACCTGGAGCAGCTGTTTGCATGGTTCCCGTTAGTGGGCCGCCAATAGTAAGTATTATGCCTGGAAACATTCAGGGTTACCTGCTTGTTTAAAACAATATCCCTGCCCAGCAACCTGACTCGAGCTGGAGGCTTATCAATGGGAGAAATAAATGGAGCACTAAATTAAAATTTACTTTGCAGAATTCCTTTTCATCATGTTTTTGTCTAGTAAGAAGTATTTATACACCCTGAGCCCCAGTAATCTTTTTGGGAGGAGACGGAAGATTGAATGATGTTGCAGATTTGTGYTTAATACAAACAATGACAAATACTGAAGGAAAAAAAAAAAAAACTATAGAAAATCTTTACTAGAGGATGTATGCTAAGGAAGCAGAATGCCTCTTAATTTGCCATTCTTAGGTACAGCAGAAGTAATATGCTTAACTCCGGGATAGTTTCAGAACTATGAAGGAGGATAAGCTGAGAAGCCCTAGCATGCTCTGAAATGTGTTTTGTACTTCAAAGTGAAGACTCAGCTGTGTGAATAACAAGCCTCTGATAGGGCATTGGCCAGCGTGATTGTTTTATATTAAGAGATTCTAGAGGCTCCTTTTGAAGTCTTTGGAGGTTTTAGATATGCGCAAAAAGTGGATTTAGTTTTCCATGTACTTCCACACTGATCTTCCGAACTTTCTCTGTCACTTAATAGTGCACTATATTCAAGTAGTATGTAGCTATTTTGACTCATTGGTTTTTAAAAAATACCATCAATAAGAGGCAGAATGTCCCTGGTTTATATTACGCTTAAGGGTTGTTTTGATCTGTCCAATTTCTGGTTTATAGAACTGAAATATAGCAGTGCTTTGAATATATAGGATGTATCTTTGAAAAGTGCATTGTATCCATGCTCCTGTGTATGCTGAACACATACATCTCTGGATTGATCTGAAACTCTGGGTTGATCTGAAATCTAGTAGTTCATCTGTTTTTAATGCGTATTTTTGCTTGTATAGGATATTGGTCGTATTACTGAAGCTCCCAAGATAAAGGAGGCAGTGAATGAAGTGTACATCACTTACAACAGCACTACTCCTTGCCAGTTAAATGACAAATTGAATTATACTTCTCTCATTGTGTTTCACTGCCGCCAAGGAACTAATCTGGTAAGATGGATACCGATGAAAAGTACTTTACCTGCAAATGTTTCTAGCATTAGTTGTGATAACTGAGATGGCAAATTAGCCCTCCTGTTAGTGAAATCTAACCTTAGCAATAACCGAGGTTAAAAATACCCCCACAATAAAACCTAATGACTTTTGCTATGGTACTTGGTAACAGGGCAAGCCAAAGATGATAAGGAAACTTGACTGCAATTTTGTGTTTGAGTGGGAAACTCCAGTTGTGTGTCCTGACCAAGTGAAAACTTCTGGTTGCTCTGTGACTGATGAGCAATTACACTACACTTTCAACTTGACCAGCCTTTCTGGAAGATCATATAAGGTAATGCATTCTGGTGAAATAACTGTATTCATCTCTCTCAACATTTTGAAGCTGAAGACAGGCCTGGACATCTTTTCTAGGGTGTAAAAGGAGGCTGAGGWTCATAGTGCAGCTGCAAGTCAGTATTCATACTTGTTTGCCCTCTAGTGGAGGAAAAGCTTTGGAGGAGACTAGCTCTTTTCTTAATTTTGAGAGGTGATTTGATCTCTTGATGGGGAGGGAGAGTGGAACTCTGGGAGGCAGAATCTCAGCCTTACATGTGACAAAGTTCTGCTGAACAGGTTATACCCTTGGCCCTACAGGTATACCTAGTCTGTAGCTTTATCATATTAGTGAAAGTAAACCGTGCAAAATTAGTTCTGATTTCTCTACCTGTGTTTTACAAATACTGTATGAGGTTTAGTTCATTAAGCTCTTGGGTAGTACTTCATTAATCCCTGTAAAAGGCTGTCTTGTTGCTGATGCGTCTGGATGTCTGYGCAGGTGCTTTCTGAATCCAGCAGTTACCATGTTGGTGTGTGCAGTAAGGCAGCAGACACCTCCCAGGGGAAGTGCAAAGATGGAGCTGTCTGTCTGATCTCTGGAAATGGCGTGTCATCCTTTGGAAGCGTAAAAGAAATGAAAATGGACTACAGCCATCAGGATGAAACAGTCATCTTGCAGTATACAGGTGGTGACAGGTGCCCTCCAGGTGAGATCCAGCAGATCCACTCTTTACAGTAAAGACTTATCAGCTTTCTTACCCTTGAATCTGCTTCTCTTCTGTTGCCACAAATCTCAATGTTGGCTTTGCATACGTACGTAAAAACGTGTAGTCCTGCTGAATCAAATGCATTGTTTTGATCTGTGTCTCAACAAGTATATGCTACAATGCATACATACAGCTTTTCTATAGGGATGATCATAACTGTGTACTACATCTTAACATGAAATTCCATGTTTCAGTGTTACTGTTCTCTGCCTRTGCTTCATGACTGTTCTTAAAGAGTATAAAAGTCATTACTCTGGATATATCTGCTTTTTCCACTGCCTACTGCTAAGTGGRTGTATCCTCTTTTCCTCAGTGACTGAAAAAGGGGAGGTTTGTGTCTTCCCCTTCAAGTACAAAGGGAAGAGTTATGAGGAATGTATTACAGAAGAAAAGTCCAGACCTTGGTGCGCTACAACTGAGAACTACCTGGGAGATGAAAAGTGGGGATTTTGTGGCAGTGGTAAGAACTAATGATCTGAGTTAACACTGAGTTAGCTGCTAGTTGCTGGGGCAGAAGACCACAGGTATAATGTAATGCAGGAAGGGTTGCAGTGGGCAACGGCAAGGGGATATTTGGAACAAACTGGACTTTACTCAGATGGGTGAACAATGTAAAAGGATGCCGTTAGAAATTGATGTTTCAAGTAATAAGTGGCCTCAATGGAGGTATCCATCTTGGAAGGAGAAGTTGCACAGCTTTCTAAAAGGTTTAAGTTTAACCTATGGAACGCAACTGCTAAGTCTACACATTTAGGTCTTAACTGTATAAAATGGTATCCAGTTAAAGCTTAGACTCATATCTTAGCATTACAACACTAAAATCTGTGCATGCCTGAAAACCTCTTATAAGGTGTGTTTTTCTTTTTCTACCTCACCTTTTAGCTACTGGGAAAAGGGAATCTACCATTATCTTCACGTGTGATGAGAATGCTGGCACTGGGAGTCCTCGCCTTCTGAGCGAGACACTTGGCTGTGCTGTGACATTTGAATGGAGGACACAGGCTGTGTGTCCTCCTAAGAAGATGGAGTGCAAGTTTGTACATAAGCACAGAACTTACGACTTGAGAATGCTCTCTTCCCTGACAGGATCTTGGATCTTTTTCCACAATGAAAACTCGTGAGTAGAATTTGCATTGTTTGTTCAGCAACTTGATTCTGTCTTCATTAAGTTTGAGTAGCTTCCAGCTAAGAAGCTATATAGTTTATATTTCATCTTGTCAGTTTAGCCTAAACGTTTTTAAAACATGTTTTCTCCATCATATTTTCCTTTCTGTAGGTACTACATGAATCTTTGTCAGAGGGTGCATGAAGGACCCCCAGGCTGCCCTGAAAGAGCCAGTATTTGTAGAAAAAGCAGCAACGGAGACATTCAAGTTCTTGGACTTGTTCATACACAGAAACTGAATGTAACAGGTATGGTTAATTGTTCCTATATAAAGGTATGAAATGGCCAGATATCACAGCCTAGTTATAGGTTATATTGTTATATAGTGTATAAAACCCATAGCTATAGGAGTTATAGTATATAAAAAATTCACAGAAACTCTGGAATACTTCTTCCAGTAAACCTGTTTGGGAGGAGGAGAACAGGGGATCTGGCAAAATAAACAAAGCAAAATCTAAATAAACCACATGACTACTTATATGGTTTACATCAGGAGAACACACTAAAACAAGATCGATGGTTAAGCAGGGGAATTGTGGGAGTGAGAATTATTTTTTGTTCACTGTTTTGAAAGACCTGTTTGCTGAACTTTTCTACTAAAAAGCAGCATGTGAGGGAGGTGATCTTAACAACTGCAAAAATGAGAGAAGTTTTGTAACCAACCTCTAAAGTAGGGAGGTGTAGTGAATGTGTTTATTGCCTAACTTGCCTATAAATATAACTTATTCTTAAGATGTCAAAAGAACTTGATAAATTTATGGTTGTGTATGCCTGTACTGGCGTCATGAACACGGTACTGCATGAATGCAAAGAATCTGTTTGAGGAGACATTTTTATGTGGACATCAGTAAAAACCTCCAGCTTATCAAAGTACTCTAACTGATGCATGGTTTAAGAAAAAATAGAGGTTAATATTAAGTAATGGGATCAGCAGAATGAAAAAATGTATTTTGTGATAGCTGTTTACAAAATCCTTGAGTGTCACCATCTATCTTTTCTAGATGATACGGTGTATATCAGTTATTCCAGTGGGCAGGAATGCTGGAAAAACAAGAAAGTAATGACAGTTATAAAATTGAAGTGTGCAAAAACAGTGGGTATGCCTATGTTACAGAGGTGAGTATCTAATTATTTTATCTGATCTTCCTACTTCCTCTTTATTAAACGGTGAGTCTCTGTGATGGTGACTGTTCTGTTGGGCAGCCCCAGAGCTGTCAGGTTCTGGTTGGTGACTTAAATGCTGCAGTGATGCAGAGGGTCAGGGTGGGTGGATGTGTGTGGATGTGTTTTTTTTTTTTTTTATTGTTTTGTTTTCCCTCCCTGTACCTCTTCTGTAAAGAGTATGGCAAGATTGTCAAGATTATCCTGAATAAGCAGATAAATGGATTAGCTTAGGGAAGTACATTGAGTTAATGTCTATAATGAAAAGGAAATGTATGACTCCTCACTTCTTTCTCTACCGTAAGTTCCTGACTTAATTCAATTACAGTGAACAAGGTGCCTAAAAAAGTCCTGTGTGCCCAGCTTCAAAAACTGAGTGGGAAAATGGATATACGCTTTGATTGTTTCAAAATTGGGAAGGAGCACATGTACACATACCAACCTTTGACCCAGGGAGTCCGCTGGACAGCACTGTGTCCTCCTCCTGCTGTGCTGTTCGTGTTCCTGCTTTAATGCTAGCGTAATGTGTAGTACCAGAGCACAGGAAGCAATGGTGTGGCCCTTATAGGTGTCCTATAAAAAGTGGTAATATTAGCTTGTCTCTGAAGTGGTGTACAAAGGGCCAAGTATTCAGTTACAGTTAAGGCTTAAATTCAGATAAGTCTCTGCCTATAGTGCATTTCTTGCCCTATTGCAAGTTTTCAGTAAAAAATCTGGATGCTGCTTTCTAGTTTATCCTCCATTGCTTGCCATCTCCTTCCCCACAAGAAATGTTTCTGAAAGCAACCTTAGACATGTAGACATCTGAGCATTACTTTCTAGAACTCATCTTTGGTCTATATTTGTAAAACATGCAACTTCTAGAGTTTTTGCACCTGTACAGTCTCATGAACAGTTTTATTCTGTATTTATCTTAGATGGCCTGGAGGGAGGAAAAAAATGTTCCACTTCAAGTTAAAATAGATCGTGGCTTGAATCTTATTTTTGATGTCAGTTACAATAAACCACTCATAATAAGTTTGTCCAAACTTGCTATCRATAAGCACTTCAGCTAAGGATGCAGGTTTTTGCTGCATTCCTAAACGATTCCAAACTGATGGCTTTTCTTTAGTTTTGTTTTGGTGAGCTGCATATTGCTTGTAGAATTGGTAAARCTGTGTGTGAGGCTCTGCAAGTGTCAAAGAACCGTGCTGCAACTCTAACTAGGTCATGTTTCTTATCCTGGCTATGTAAAGTATAAAACATTAATCTGTCAAGAACAGACTGACTTGTTAGTTAAATATTTAGATAAAACCTCTGAACTGACTTCTGGAAGTCTAAGCGAGGAGCTTGTTCCTGGCTCGTGTTTAAGATTATCAGGCCAAGATGGTTGGCGATGTTATACTTGTAGAAAAGATCAGTGCAGCTCTTCTGTAGGTAGCCTCTTTTAGTATGTTAACTACTCAGCTTGCTCACTGAAAGATGCTTGCACAGGAGACTGTTACCATTTCCCAGACCAATGTACTGTGTCTGTTCATTTGGCAGGATTGATGAAGAGAACTGTGTTTACTACATCACTTGGGACACACGGGCTGCTTGTGCTGTTAAGCAGCAGGAGGTGGAGGTAGTGAATGGAACAGTTATTAATCCTGTAACCGGGAAGAACTTTTCTTTGGGGGATGTTTATTACAAGTAAGTAAAACAAATGAAAACCTTAGCATTCTACTGTGGGAAAGGAAACCTCGGTGTGACTGCTTTAAGTTGCCTTAATCACCCCTCATTGTCCTGTGGAAATCCTGCTAAATTTGCTGTTGGACTTGTGCCAGTGTTGGACTTAAGGATGGRTGGTGAAGGTCGTACAGTTTGCTGCTGGAATTGAAAGCTCTGAGCCTGCCTGGAGGTACTCAAGAGTGAGTCCAAACCTGGGAGTTTCCCCACAGTAGAACTCTCAGTGGCTGCTGAGTGGGTCACTGCTCTCTCCAGAGTGCATAGATATCAGTTCAGAAACGAAGACCCTACTCTGCTCTTTGGCCTTTCGTGTAGCTCCTTTCATTCTGCCCAGCAAGTCCATGTGGAGGCAAGAGCTCATGCTCCAAAAGCCTCAAGAGTGAGGAAGGACAGCTCGGAAGGAATGTTTAAGTGTGTGTRACTGCAAGGGCAAGGAAGGACCAACAGTTAACAATGTCTGCATAACCATGTGGCACATAATTCTGTTGCAGACAATTTTACCTGATTTAAAATAAAACTAGTGTTTTATGGAGGGAAAACTTCCCATGCCCTAGTGCTGTGGGAAGAATGCATTCTGCTTGCAGGGCGCAAACCAGTAGTATGTGCTGAAGGATATRGGTTTGGTTAAGTAAGCATTAATGTTGTGAATAGACTTGCTATGCAAACATGTTTTGCCTGTAATTCTCTAAACATGGAGAGGAACCAAATAGGTTTGGATGGGGGAGATGAGATCAGGACAAAATGAGAAGCCTGGTGTAACGTTTGATGGAAAAACAAATTATATTTGAGCGAGCTCAGCCTTTGAGTAGGAGGTTAGAACAGATAGCTCCTAATCTCTAGGAAGCTCTTGCAGTGGACCTTGTCCTTCTAGAGAAGGCTGCTTGCTAGTGGTCAGCAAAACTACGCACTGCTATTTATCAGAGCTCAGTAGTGATCTTTGTGGTCCATATGTGATGTGTGTGAAAGCTGCTGAATTGTGCTTGTGTTCCTAGTTGTTTAATCCTCTCTATGTGTTTAAGCATGCACCTGCTGAGGGCAGTATAGTTACCAATGTTTGCTTTCTGTGTGGTTTTGGAAAACTTAATGCTGGGTATAATTCTCACCTGTAAGTGTTCAGGGTGGAAGTCTCTGTCTCACTGCTCTTTTGACTCTTGAATCATTTACTAACTTGTCTGGAGTTAGCTGGCAGCAACTGTTACTTCTGTTGCTGGCCTTATCTCTTGAGAATAACCTAACTCTGAGTTTAAACTTCAGGATAGGCCTGCCCTCTGTCTCCACAGGTTGTACACGGCCTCTGGTGACATAAGAACAAATGGTGACAAGTATGTGTATGAAATTCAACTTTCTGGTATAAGAAACTCAAGTTTCCTGGAGTGTGCTGGAGCAAACATCTGCCAAGTTAAAACTAATGAACGTCGCTTTCGGAAAATTGGTTCTTCCAGGAAAGCTAAATATTATGTTCAAGGTAGGTGCTTACTAGTTGGATTTATGTGCTTCTCCAGATACATGACATCATAGTGTAGATGTTTTTTTTTAACATCTACACTAATCAATTTCTACAAAAGTATGTAGAGTCTATGTTTCGGGATTTAGATTTTCTTGTCATGCAAGCTCAGTTGCAAAAGTGTCTTTAGAAGCAGATTTGGGTTGATACTTCTTAAGAATTAAGAAGTATCTTAATTTCTTAATTCCTATCCTATCTTTGATATCTTTGATAGGATAGGAATAAAGAGGAGACCAAGTCATCTTGTTCTTCATTTATCCCGCTGTGTTTATGCTCCATAAGCAGTGCTCTTTGACCTCTTCAGTTTTTCTGATAAAAAGCATAGCCTACTGTTCTGTAGTGACTTATGGAGATCAGTCATATACCTCTATGTAAGATATGGTACCATACAGATAGGGTCATCTACAGAAACCTAGTAATGTCTAAGTTGCTATTGCATAACAAATACATGCAAGAACACAGAGTAGTTAATTTTCTTTCCAGGCTAATGTTGATGGACTGTCCTTAGGGAAGTACTTAACTGCAACATCTTCTCTCTGCAGATGATGACTTGGATGTCACATTTTCTTCAGACTCTAGATGTGGTAAAGATAAGTCGAAGTTTGTCTCTTCAACCATTTTCCTCCACTGCACTCAAAGAGCAAAAGAAGGCATCCCTGAATTCCTTCATGAGACGGCAGATTGTCAGTATTTATTTACCTGGTACACATCTGCTGTGTGTCCATTAATGTGAGTAATTGAGTAAGTGAGTAATYGAGTAATTGTCTGAAAGTGGCTCTTGTCAGTATTTGTCAACTGAAGGGCGACTCGTGTTCTTGCACAGCCACTCTGATGAACAGAGGAAAAGGCAAACAATTTAGCAAAAGAAAGAAATGCATGGTGTCCATGCATGTAATGTTTGATACTTGGCATTCATTTATTTAGCAGTCAAACTGACCTGAACCTGAAATTTTGTTTGCACTTGAAATTATGGAGAGAGGTGGTAGAGTYTAATATCTGTCTCTCTAATAAGTAAAAAACTACTGTAACTGAGAAAACATAGCCAGTATTCAGCAAATATTTTTGTCCTGTCTGCCTTAGAGTGAACAAMAATATAGATATGTACAGAAATATCTCATAATTTCTGTGATTGATTACACCTTTTCTGACCTGTGGAGTAGAGACTGTGGTTTAAAAACTGAAAAATAATAAATAAGGACCCAGGTGCAGTGTTTTTATTTTTTTAACTGGAGTCCTTAGCTGCCTTCTGGGCATGGGACAGGCTCTCTGCAAAGAGTTGCTCATGTGTAGAAATGATTAATCCTAGGGCTATTTGCTGTCTTGCTGCTGGCTAACTTCAAAATCCAGGAAGGATATGTTCATTTTCATTAAACAGGGGATTAGGTATTGAAGGAGTTTGATCGGTGTGCTGTCTATAGTCAGCTGAAAGGTAAATAATTACTGTAGCCTCTATGACTTTTTCCGGTACAGATTTTGTTCTAATACAGCTTTGTATGGAAAGCTGCTGCTATCAAGTTATAGTGTCCAATCATAACTTGGTCTGTGCTGGAATATGTATTATTTGAAAGCCAACCAGAATGTAGTACAATGCATATCTTATTTCTCTTTGAGCTATCTTATTGAGAAGAAAAATCCCTCTGCTTTCTATTCTTTACAGCTGCTACATAGGACTGACAGGATGGTCTGGCATGTTAGTTCCTTGAAGCCACTCTTTCCAGTCATATTTGATGCAATGGGTCCATATATTTTATTTTTCTTCTTTCTCATAATTTATCATTAGATCAACAAGTATTCCAGGAAGTCATGAGGGCCAATCTGATCAAGAAGCCCAGATACATAAAGGCCTTTCAAGGAGAAGTCAAGCTGTTGGTGCTGTGCTTAGTGTCCTTCTAGTTATTCTCACTGCCTGCTTAATAATCTTGCTGTTCTACAAAAAGGAGAGGAGGTAAGTAGTAATTGGGAGGCCTTAAAGATTTTGATAGGACTTGCTTTCCTTCTCGAAAGGGAGTTGGTGAACTTTGGAGATTTGTTTGTTTTACAGCTGACAGCATTAATGGTCAAGTAGCTACTGCTTTGTTTTCAAGCTTTTCCTTTACTATCTGAAGTCTCGTGCAAAGTCCAGTTGGCTTGGACTGATCTTTATTACCCATTAGATAGTAGTCTACAGTAATTAATGTAGCARTTAATATCTAATGCCTGATGGAGAACTGTGAAGGTTCACCTGTGAAGGTAACAGAACCCTGGCACAGGCTGCCCAGAGTGATTGCAGAGTCTCCTCTGRAGATCTTCCAAACCTGCCTGGATGCCACCCTGTGCCATGTGCTGTAGGTGTCCYTGCTGGAGCAGGGGGGTTGGACTAGTTGATCTCTAGAGGTCCCTTCCAACCTCAGCCAATCTGTGGTTCTGGATCAAGTTGGAATCATACAAGAGCCACAAAACACATACAAACAACACTGCCTTCGAGCCAAGGTTACTTTTTTTCCAAAGGCTTTAAGTATCAGAAGAGTCAGGCTGAAGCTGTGGTGAGCAAGATGATACATATGATTATAGACTATGTTTTACTTGTTCGTGTGGTTCTGAATGAAATATGATAGCATGTAGTTGTTTGGTAAAATGCTTTGATGGCAAAACTCCAGTGATGACCGATGAGGGCTGCAAAGGTAGATACAATTCTTCTAATGCTGTGTTTCTCCCCTGCCCTTTTTTTTCTATTTCCAGGGAAATTGTAATAAACAAGATAACCAACTGTTGCAGAAGAACATCAGGAGTTTCCTACAAATACACAAAGGTAATTTTGATGAAATCAAAGGCTTTTGCTTCTGTGACTTTAAAAACAAACCAAAAAAAACTTCCCAGTTCCTTCAGTACCTGGATATTAAATTCTATGGCTTCAGTAGGGCTGCATGGCTGTTTTACATGTCTAAAACTACGTAGTAAAAAGACAAAAGAAGTTAYAGGAAGAAATGTTGAGAAGTGGCCCATGAGTAGCTTAAGGTGCACAAAGCTTTTCAGGAGACGACAGCTGAGGTTCAGACACAGTACAGAATGGCTGGAAGCAACAATAATATACTGCAGGAGTATGCTGTTACTGTCCCAAGATCAAATACATCCATACAGACCTTGTATGGGATGGGTCTGCTGATTGGAAAGATCAGTAATAGGCAGAGTCTAGAGCACTATATGCAGTCTACTCTTGCTTTTTGTTGTTTTTTTCAGATAAACAGTGAAGAGGAAGCTAATGAGCATGAAACGGAGTGGCTTATGGAGGAAATCACAGYGCCAAATCAAAGAACAGCAAAGGGAGGGCAGGAAAATGGTCACATTACCACTAAGTCTGTTACATCCGAAGCTTTTACATCTCTCCATGCTGATGATCTGGACAGTGAGGATGAAGTGTTAACAATTCCAGATGTAAAGATTCAGTCAGGAAGAGGGATAGACAAGAGCAAGCATCCACGAAAGAAGGTGCCAAGCCTTGACTTACTGAATGGGGGAAAGGATAGGAAAGTAAAAGCCAACCCAGGCCAACAGGCACAGAACTCTACAAACACAGTATCATTTCATGATGATAGTGATGAGGACTTGTTGAATGTTTAATACCCCCTTCTTGTGCCTAAACAAATATAGAGAGATTATATAATGGGACAACACTTCCAACCAAATACAAGGACTTCAGCCTGAAAAGATTTTTTTTTTTTTTGAATTTTGCCTTTAACAAGAAACCATTGAAAAGGGATGAAGAAAAATGTGTTGGTGGTTTACAATGATCTGTTCGGTAACGACTGGGTTTTTAGCATCCAGTTGGCTGAGTTGTGTTGACTCTCTCTAGCCAGGACAGGGATTTTCTGCTTGTTTTCTTTTAAGCCTTAGCATAGACATTAAATGCTTGTTTAAAAGAAGAACCYATCAAAGAACAGGATTAAATCCAAACGAAGCCCATGGCTCCTGAGATTCAAATTATCTGACTACTAGCATTTTAACTCCTTGTATTTATTGATCCTCACTACTCAGGTTTATTCTTCCTGCCGGCAGGGTATTATTCTATGGGTTCACCCATTGTGTGACAAGGAAAAATATAACTTTTGTGAGTTGGGATGATTTGATGTAAATTTTAGAACCCGTCTAACTTATCCTGTAAATTTGAATATCCATTCTAATTTAAACAGATCATTGATTCAAAGGTGTTGACTGAAAGGTACAACTCTGTATAGCTTTAGCCTGAAATGATTGCTGTTCTTTGCATGATATTTTTGGTACTGGTTATATGACTGACTTCTCAGTATTTGCCTAAGCAGCTGATAAGCACCCAAAGATTTTTTTTTTCCACTAAATTATGGCTGGACTATATGCAAGAGAACCAGAGTTTCAAGACCAGAGAGGCAGAATTCCTGGCATGCAGCCTGCGCTGCCCAGTTTGTCATCACCAAGAAAAGCCTAACAACTAGAGGAGCCTTAATCTACGCATCATCTATYCAGTACAAATTGTGAGAAAAATTTTGGTCCTGTGTTTTTTGGTAATGCAAGTTCTAGTGCTTATGCTGAAGCCCTGGCCACAGTCATTGACTTGAAAAGTTACTGGTGATGAATGGAAGTCAATTTTCCTCTGGCAGTYTTGCTTTTCTCCAGGTCTTTCTGGAATCACCTTACAGACAATGATATGGTTTCAAAGAATTGTGCAAGTACATATACTGGTCAGAATTTTTTGAAACTCTCCATTGTTCCTTTTGGTTGGCTTATTCAATTTCAACAATAGTTTCTTTTTATAAAAACTCCATTTTGAATCAAAATAGTGTAATATAAAGTAATCAGCAATTTCAATAAAAGATATGAAGTGGGTATTCCAAATCCCACATATCAAGTCTGGAATCTTTCTTGTACTGGTATGTAGAACTGTTCATCAACTTGGTAGTCTCCTCTGCTGCCACCATGGCTAATATCCTCATTGCAGTGCTCAAAGTGAGAACTGTTTGATCACAAAGGTCCACTAGTGCCTTTTCACTGCTAAAGTGAAGCCTTAAAAATGTTTGGCCAAAGCTGCCTCTTAAAATCATATTTAAATAAGTAGCCTTTTTACAGTTTGCATTAGGTTAATTGGGGAGAATGAGAGGCCTGACAGTAGGTTTTTAATTATCATCAACTCTGAAGCATTTTCTGAAATGGATACTGAGGAACGTTGTCTGCTCCAGACCTTGCAAGGCTTGCATCTTGGAGTTGTTCAGGGAGTGGTGTGGTACTGAATTCAGAATTTGACCTACATACCAAGATTTGATACCAAATGATATGTTCATTGTGACTGTGTAATGAGGCTTAGATAGAACAACTCTATGCTATCTGGGAATGCTTATCTGAACAATATCAAGGACATGTTTCTAATAACAGGCAGCTGACAACAGTAACTTAAATGTCTAGTTTTGGAACTGCTGTCCACTTTTCATCAAAGCAGGTGGGGATATGTGGACTAAAACTTATCTTGTGCAGAGCTGAATGCCTAACTTTGTTCAGGAAACTTTTTTCCAGTGGAACACTTGGTTAAATATAGGAAGGAGGAAATGTTACAAGGATGTTGGGGAGCCAGGGACCAGTATGCACAAATTACAGCAACTTGTGGCAGCATGGGAAGACTTCAGTGGCTTCCTGATGGATTCTGGGCTGGGTACCCAGCTGGCCAGTCAGCTCACAGAATCACACAATGTTCAAGGTTGGAAGGGACCTCTASAGATCATCTAGTCCAACCTTCCTGCTCCAGCAGGGACACCTACAGCATGTGGCACAGCTCGCTCGGAGGTGGAAGGCTGCGAGACACCTGCACAGTGCAGTGCCCAACCCTGGTCCAGAGGGAAATGAAGTGTTACCTATCTCCTCTCTGGTAGAGAGTAATGGGAAATTGGGGAAAATCCTGGTCTAACCTTTTAATTTGAACTCATACACTCTACTGCAAACGGATTAAGCGCCAAAAAAAAAAAAAAAAAAAAAAAAGCTTGGAAAAAAAAATAACTTGGTGCAAAACTTTTTTTAAAAAACAGACCAATTGCTTTAAACATGTACTTTCCGTGCAGGGCTTGACTTATTTTTCCTTGCTTCAGCTGTTTGCAAACGTGCCTCCTGCCTGGGGTGGAAGCAGGGGAGGGCAGTGAGTGGGGCTGGTGCTGCGCTGGCCCCTGCTGCTCCACATGGACCTTCCGAGGAGGCAAAAGTCCAGGGAATCACAGTGGTGGTTCCGAGGWGGTTGTGTGCTTAGCGCAAAGTAATGCAGCTCTAAGTAGTTGCATAAGCAGTGCTCTTGTTACTGTGTTACTTCTGCTATTCTGCTTTATTCTGTTTTGGAGGGGGATGGTTTGCTTGAGGAGGTGGTAGGTCTGTCTAATATAAATAATACTTGGGGAGTGCTGATCTCAAAGCAGTTTTTACAGCTGGCTAGGTCATAATTACACTGAAGTTGAACAGAGTTTTCAGTGACACATTAAGCTGGATGAAGAACTGGCTCTGGTCTGTATCTTTGCTTCAAAACTGTCTTGTTAACTTGCTTGGCTTTTGGAGTGCATGGGAATAGGTCTTTAATCTGTGTGCAGTTGCTTAATCTGGGCATGTTACTCTCTAGACCATTTTCTTTTTTGTTTTTTTTTTTCYGTCTCTAAAATGTTATCTTTCATTCATGCTTTTCCTTCTTATGAAAGCTACTGTTGCCAGCAAAGGTGTTGGAGTAGCTGGTATCTGTCTATGGGTAGTATGAAACACTAGTGAAACCTGATGCATTTCTTCATTCATTTCTTAGTTTTTGAGCACCAGGAAAAAAAAAGTTTGCCTTTGCAAAGTCTTACAAGCCTGCAGTAAGCAATAGTTGTCTCTGTCTTGATTACTGTGTATCTTGGTTTCCTCTAGCTAGTTCCAGTGCATAATCTTAATATTTTTAATATTTTGTATCACATTTTTGAAAGAATTATTGTCAGATAAAATGTGTTCCTGTTGTAGTTGGAGGAGGAGAGTTTCTTTGGAAATGGGGACATGTGGAGAGTGAAGAAGTAACAGGGTCAGCACATGAGTTCGCAGGACATATTTCTCCCCTGTACTAAGTTTCAGTGTAGGAACACTTCTATTTCCAAGTCTATTTGAAAATCAAACAAACAAAAAACTAGTTAATATGGCATGTCTGTTTACAGACAAGGTTTGCCCAGCAATTACTGTGCTAAACTTTTCACTTGTTGACGGGATTTTCCGTCTACGCTTGTCCGAATGCTTCTAGTGTCGAAAGAGTGGATTTGGCTTAATAAGAAACAGTGTTCTGGCTGTTAGCTGCTTTTCTGGACAAAAGAGAGGCTCCCTGATGAGGGGTTAAATGCAAATTTTCCTTGGGTCAATCAAGGTTTGCTCTCAAATGAAACCTAAAAAATAAAGCTTGCAACACATAGCTTAATAATTTATGGAGCTAATCTTGACTTTTGGTCAAATGTCTTTGTTACTTAAATAGCTTTGCGGCCAACTAAATATACCAGTGCGGTGGAGAGGACCTAGGTAAGTTTTTTTTTTTTTTTCCTTATTATTATTTTGCAAGAGTGCAATGCAAAAATGCGGACCCTGGATGACATCCTGGAGAGCGTCGGCGAGTTCGACCGGTTCCAAAAGCAGACCTTCTTGGTGCTGTGCTTGCTCTCGGCCGCCTTCACGCCGGTGTACGTGGGCATCGTGTTCCTGGGCTTCATCCCCGAGCACCGCTGCRTGAGCCCCGGCGCGGCCGAGCTGAGCCGCCGCTGCGGCTGGAGCCGCGACGAGGAGCTGCGCTACACGGTGCCCGAGTGGGGCCAGCGCGGCGACCCCTTCGCCAGGCGCTGCCGCCGCTACAATGTCGACTGGAACGACACGGGCCTGGCCTGCAGCGACCCGCTGGCGGCGCCCCGCAACGCCGGCGYGCTGCCCCTCGCCGCCTGCACCCACGGCTGGCTCTACGACACGCAGGGGTCCTCCCTGGTCACRGAGGTGAGTGCCCTCCTCCGGCCTCCCCGGCAGCGCGGGCAGCTCCAGGGTCGGAGCGCACCTGCAAGACTGGGTCTGCTCGTGTGTTTTTACATTTTTTTACTGTATATAAAGGTATATTATTTCTATAGGTAGCCAAAATATGTAGCGGACACCTGTATACTCACCTGGAGGTGGGGGGATCAACTCCTGCTGCCACATCCACCTAAAATAGCTCCGCTGCCGTCCTGCCTTGTTCATGCTCCCACCTCCAGCTGCAGAGCCAAAAAGCATTTCAGCAAATAAATCGCTGTGTAGATAAAGCCCAGGTTTAAATAAAGCCCTAGTCCCTATTGGTGGAGATGTGTAAACMTCCCCCCCACCCCGCTCCACACCAGACATCAAAAGCCTCAGCTCACCAAACCAACCTGGCCACCGTGGGGGCAGGCCCACTCCTAAAGAACCTCCCCACTTTTAAGCTGTTTGTATTGCAAAGGAACTACAGAAAAGCCAAGGGCTGGTTTTTGCTTGTTTGCTTTATTTTTTCTCTTTTTTTCTTTTTTAATTTGGATGTGTTTTTTTAGAATAATTGAAAATAGCTTATTTGAAGCATCTCAGTATTTTAAGACTTGGCTGTCTATAAAATCCGTACTTTGATGAATGATTTCATCATCAATTTAGTACAAAGAAAAACTGATTTCTGACACCTCTAGAAATTTAATAGAACTTGATAAAACAAATGTAAGAGCTGTTAAATTCAAGGTTCTAGTGATTGTAGCACCTTGTTGTAAGTTTCTGACTTAATAGAGGGTTATAAAAGGAAATGAGGAAAAAAATCAATGAAAGCAGATGTGTATTGTATGTGTGTGTCTTCCCGTAAAATATGGACTGCATGATATTAAGGTGAAGAAATGAACTACCCAGGCTTTTCGGGCAGTCTATAATGACTGCCTCCCCTAGGGAGGACAGCTCAATGCTTCTACAGCCCAGCCTGCGCTGGACAACTTCCCCTGCACAAACTTGGGTAAATGCTGTGGTGCAGGGGGCTTGACTGGGGCTCTCTTGGGGGGTCTGCAATAGCCACAGCTTTGCGCACAAGCTTTTCCCAGTGTCTTGTGTTGGCTGTGGCTGTTTCTGCTGAGGCCATCCTGCTCCTGTGTGTTGTCCCTTGCTCTGGCAGGGAAGCAGGGCAAAGGACAGCACAGAGAAAACTTTACTCAAAGGAAAAAATTACACATGAAATGGTATCCTCACAGGGTGGATGTTGTTTTTTCCATGGATCAAAGATGCATAGTTTTGAATAAACCCAGCTTGCCAGTGGGACAGAAAGGGATTCAGAATGCTATCTTGAGGATGTTTTAAATAATTTATCGTCTAGTAACTTATTTTCTCATGCAAGGGCTAAGACCAGATGGCAAATATCTTTGGTAAAGTTTGGCCATGTCTGCGAGATGCCACATCTCTGTACAAGTCAGACTGTAGCATATTTTCTCCTGCTTCCAAAACCCTCTCAGTGTCTCATTCCCTACTTCCCCAGTGAGGCACTATGGGTGCTTCATGGAGAGCATAGCAAATAGAGCATAGCTGGAACAGCTCTGGGGAATATAGTATGCCCAATCCAGAGTACTTTTCAAGTGCTGCCATGGTATACAAGGAGGTGGGGCAGCTAGAACTGCTTAGAAACATTAACTACCAGTGGGAAGGAAAAAAAAAAAAAACCAAACAAAAACCCACAAATTTAGAAAACCTAGTCTGATTAACAGAGTTTGAACAAGGTATAATGTGCATTGGAAGTTTTGGCAAGCACCTAACTACTGTTTTTCCCAGTAGTAAAGATGAGGCATGAGAGAACTACTCAAAGGCTTGATCTTATTTTCAGTGTTGGACACTTATATCAATGATGTTCCAAGATGTTGATAAAATGGGTGTCAACCCAGACATGTGTTTAAGTTGAAGTTAAGGAGACTTTGCAAGTGTGAACTAGTTCCCAATTTCACTGTTTTGCTTTTACCTGTGGTTGCTCCTTTAGTTTGACCTGGTGTGTGAGGATTCTTGGAAGCTGGATCTCTTTCAGTCGTGTGTGAACGCCGGGTTTTTTATCGGCTCTGTAAACATTGGCTATGTAGCAGACAGGTACGTGTAGTGTGATCGTAAAAACACGTGACCTCCTTTATCAATGTTCMGCAGCTAAAGCTGAAGTAAAGGTAGAGAGAAGTTGTGCAACTGCTATCTCTACTCTTTTCAAAATAAGGAAAATCACCTAGGTATTAACTCATGGTATTAGAAGTGACCACTCTTGTTCATGGGTGAACAAATTGTAAGTGATAGTTTATGTAAACTGCCAATCTTTCATGCTCTGCGAGTCCTACAAACCTTGCTTTTTCTGCAAGGTGTTTCAGGTCTGTATATGCAGCAGATAAAGTCCTCCCTTGGAGGATCCACAGTGGGATGCATGCTATACTCTTGGCTTGCCACATGGCAAGCATGTGGTCTGTGAGAAAATACTCAAATTTGGCCAGACAGTTTARTCGAAAAATAAATAAATGGCAATATTAGAAGACCCCTTCTCTCTTTTCTCCCATCTAAAGACCGTTACTGCTACAGGTCCTGTTCTCTAGCTGTGAAGTCCAGCCCACTTGGGACTGGATTCATACACAAAATATTTTACAGAATTAAGTTTTCTGTATATAAATATGTTCCTCCTGGCCCACACAGGTATATTAGAGCCATAATAGTAATCTTTACTTTTTTTTCCCCCTCACTGTGTGCTAAATAACAAAAGAATAAGCTGCCTACTCAGGCATTTGGAGATAGCAGCTACAAATATGTGTAAATATGGGCCTATTCAGCTCCTGCTGAGGAAATTTTTCTTCCTTCAAACAACCTTGAAAGCCCTTCTGGAACTGCAGAGCAGTTGCCACAGTAGTTTTCAAGGATCTGACAAGTGAGTGAGAAATGGGCTAGCAGTAAAAGTTGGTGTTGTGTCTATGCCTTATTGCAAAGTTTTCTTTCTTTTTTTTTTTTTTTTTTTTTAACAATGGGTGCATAGCTCTCTTGATCACGTAAAACATCTATATCTTCCTTATTGGTATGTTGGCTTATGTGTGTTCTCTTCCAATCGAGGTTTGGTCGTAAGTTGTGCATCTTAACTACCATACTTGCAAATACTATTTGTGGCATTCTTCTGGTCTTTGTGCCTACCTACCTGTGGATATTGATCTTCCGTTTCCTGCAAGGACTGGTCAGCAAGGGCTGCTGGACTGCGGGCTATATCATGGGTGAGTTCAGGTCTCTTCCATGGAAGACAAGGTGAAAAAAATGAATAAAAAAACAGCGAATAAAAAGCCTTTACAGCTCTTTGAAATTATATATACAAGCTGATCTTGAGGAAAGTCATTGTCTTTGGCTTTTTGTTTGACGCTTGTTTTTCCCAAAGTATAGTGGCCTTCCAAGATGAGACGAGCGATGGGAAATTAGGGCTGTCTGTTCCCTGTGGTACAGCTCTGCCCTTGCCAGACCTGAGCCCCCCTTCCAGGGTGATAGCTGGGGAGGATGCACACACCGGGGCAGGTTGCAGCTACCTGGTGCTCAGCTTTGGCAACTGAGTCACAGCTGAGGACAAAGGAGGCCCATGGAGACACATGTGGAGAATGGGGAAAACTGAAGGCATTTTGGTGCTATGAAGAGCAATAAAAAGCAAGCAGGCTTTACAGGCTAAAAATAACTGCRGAACAGCATGTTCTTGTTGAGGAAAAGACAGCTATTTGAGTGCACTGGTGTTGTGCACTCCTTTGAGTGAAGGCCAAGCTGGGGCTTTCGAAGCAGGGGGTAGAGCCTGGCTGTCGTGGTGTTTCTCCCCACGCCGCGCTGCTCACAGCTGCAAGGCAGAAATGCCCTCGCTTTGTCACCACCGGTGCCAGCCGAGCCACTRCCACGCACCCGTCCCAGCGACCGCGGTACCAGGACAGCCGCGTGCGGGGATTGATTTTGTGGCTGATGAGCAGTGCTCTGCTGTGCCAGGGCTGAGCTGGGGGCCGTCTTGGTGCTTGTTCCCCAGTTCCGGGGTTTGCCGAGCCACCAGGGCCTCTGTCTTGCAAAACTGAACCTTTCAGCAATAAATGAACAAGTCATCAACAGAGCAACAAGTAAAATATTTCAACTGATGTATTTCAAATTCAGGATTACCTGGATTAGCAGGGTAGGTGACCCTACCAAATAGCTCTGAGCAAGTAGCCAACACCATTCCATTCAGTTAACCGGTAGTGGTAGAAATATAAATAGGAACACTTTAAACTACTGTTAATTCCTTTAGCACAAACATTTTACTAATACAGTGATCCAGATGTCTGTGATAAAACCTAAATATAAACATCTAGCCCAGAGCTAGGCCATTCTGCCAGGATGGGCTGSTTCCTTCCTGTGCCTGCTACAGACCCTTCTTTAGACTCTTAAATCTTTTTCTGGCACTGATGAAACTTTCATCACCACTTTCAGAGAAACTGCCATTTTTATAGTATAAAACTCATTTCAGGATGGTCACTTGTCCTACCCTGTTTTCTTCAAATGCACTTTGCTGCTTTGGGGTTCTCCTTGAAAGTAGCTCATGAGAGAAGCCRCATGGAATTGGACCCAAAGCCAATTTAAAGTTGTATCCTGATCCTCCAGCTAGTCAATACTAAATACCTAGGAAAGAATATAGTGACTGAACCAGCCTTGTTACTGTGCTATTTTGGACACTGGTCTCTCAACTGTTTTTAAGCTCAGAATCTTTCTGAGCCAAAGATGTTGATTGTTTCTACTTAATATTTGCCCAAGTAACGTGAACTAGGCTGTGATTCCAAAACAAAGCAGTTCCTTGAATTGCTAAATAATTGCATTTTGTTCTTTTTCTATTGTTTGCTCTCTTGAAATGAGACACAACCAAATACAAAATTTTACATGTGGTTATGCTTGCATGACAAAATAATTAATATTTCTTAGTTCTGCATCAATTAACCTTCAAGGCCTATCCCATGATGTGATGTTTGTAAACAGCAAATTTGCCATGAAATCGTCCTGTCTGGGAAGCTCCAAGTATCATTTTTCAAAGCAAATATTTCTTGTATGTTGAGAGTGAGATGAAGGATGAAAGGGTGCACTTAAAAAAAAAAAAGAGAGAGAGAGAGAAAGAAAGAAATTCTATTCAGATTGGAGGTGTTATGTTCAGGGTAGCATGTTGACTTTACAATAAAATCTTCTGTGTTTTGAGGGAGTGTTTGATTTATTCAATGGTAGAAGATGATAATGTGATAATGGAATGCCTTAGATCAACCCAAATGTTCTTTTCTCTTCCTTCTCTTCTGAAATTTTATGCCAAGTCCGGAATTTGTAAGAAGCTTCTTTTCAGGGTATTAATGTAACATTTCTTTTTTATGGGCCCTGCACTGAGCTGTCATCTCTGAAGTATCATTCATCTGTTTCTATGCATTTTTAGTCACAGAAGTTGTTGGTCCCAGATACAGGAGAACAGTGGGGATTCTCTATCAGGCGGCCTTCTCAGTTGGACTCCTTCTGTTTGATGCCATTGCTTATGCAATTCCTCACTGGAGATGGCTGCAGCTCACGGTTACCCTGCCAAGCTTCTTCTTCCTGCTCTACTACTGGTAAACATGCTTTCATTGTCTTCATGTAAGGCCAAACAAGCAACCTCTTTTGGTCCCTGAGCCTTGATAAACTTTGCACTGCTCTTTAGACACTTAGGCCAGTTAATGCAAAGAGTAATAACYGAGTGGAGCCCATGTTGGAAAGAGGGCTATGGAAACATTGCTAAATAATTGCATAATTGTGATGAGTTATTTACACATTCTTTGAAGAAAAACTTTCAAGTCTTTGATCCAACAAAAGAAAGATGTATGACTTCACCTTTAGGTTTATGATCAATATTTTTCAGCTTTTGAATGCTTTGGATACAAGATATTTTTTAGCTAGATCAAGAGGATAGAAATAATAGGAATCGATTTCTGTGAATAATTTTTCTTGGTCTGTGATAGTGTATCTAAAAATGGTTCCTTAAGAGGAGCCAGTTTTGGTGGACTGTCTAAATAAATTATTACACTGTTCTCAAAGACCTTTCAGATAGATTTTTGATGAACTCATCTTTTACTAAAGCCACTACAATTGCTCTTTTTTCCTCTGGAATAAGCTTTAGAGGTAGGTGTGGAAGATGAGAGGAAAAAATATTGTCTATACTGTTCTTATAGTCTCCATACATAGGAGTACTCCACGGGCATTAACTTTTGGTATAATAGCGTCCCCTCACTTGTGTTGTAGGTGCCTACCAGAGTCTCCTAGGTGGCTGATATCTCAAGGGAAAAATGAGAAAGCCATGAAAATTATTAGTGATATGGCCAAAAAAAATCGGAAGAAGATGCCTTCCCATCTTGAGGTGAGCTTGAAGTTTGCTTATAGATGTAAGGAAGCCTTAGTTACTTCTTCTTTCAATTCCCCTCAACAGAAACTTACTGCTTCTTCCCCCTAATCAGCAAGGTAGTAATCTCTAGCATAGTGACAGGATGTTAAGAAAGAAGAATTGTGTCAAGACTGGCTAAGCAAAAAAGATAAAATTTCCCTTACATAAATCGTAAATAAGTTAAGAAATCTTTTTTTTTTTTTTTTTTTTTTTTTTAAAAAACATGGAACAGCAAAAATTCTCCATGGGGAATTCTGCTGTAGTCCTGGACTGTTGCCCCAATGACTTGGGCAACAGCAGATCAGTGTCTCCAGGGGCCGTCGCGTGCGCTGAAGAGCTGGAGCGTGTGAATGTGGCTCCAGCTGCTTTCCTAAGGAGGGTACAAGTCTTGCACCCCAATGAACGTTGTTCTGGTTTTTCTGCAGGATATTAAATTTGAAGAGGAAGATGGTGGAAGACAGACCCCTTCCCTCTTTGACCTTGTTAGGACACCACAGATGAGGAAAAATACTTTCATTTTGATGTACAACTGGTAAAAAGAAAACCTTCAGTATTTTCTTTTTAGTTTAAATTTCTAGCCTTGTTTTAGATTTTGTTTCAGGTTCTGAATATACAGAAGGCTTCTGGTATATTTAATCTTTTCTCAAGGAATTGTTGACTTATTACCCTGGGATGTGCATCCTCCTGGTGTGCATTAATTTCTATAGATTTTTTCTATAGCTTTTCTATAGCTTATATTGAAATGTGTGAAACCAGCAGAGACATGTTCTGCACATTCTTCTTCCTCCACCCTCCTACCACCCCGCTGGTCCCCCCAGAAGAAGTGTAATTGGGGGAAAAAAGCATTAATTTTTTTTTCCTTCCCTCCTTACTGAGGAGGCTTTCAGTATTTCAAATAAATCAGAGTTGGGCACTGCAGGAGCACTGATCACTGAACCTAAGAAAAGTGCTGTCCCTCAGCAAGCTAGCAGGGGGCACTCCAGAACACAGAAATCTTTTGGTGGTGTAAGAGGTACCAGTCTCTAAATCACTTCCCGGCTTAAATGCTGTGGGCCCTAGCCTAGCTTGTGCTAGTGCAGGCTCAGTTACACCAGCCTTCATCTGAGGCAGTGTGATTCCCCATGCAGGCCTTCATTGCCCATCCTGTTCCACAGGCTCACGGGTTTCCATAAAAATGTTGTGGCTGAAGTTGGTTCCTCTGGTGGCTTTTGTTTGCTCTCCTTATAACGCTCCAGCAGGAAGCAGACCTCAGTCCTCTGAGTAAATAATGAAGTTGGTAACACTCTTCTCTACCTAGGTTCACCAGCTCCATCCTCTACCAGGGCCTCATCATGCACATGGGAATAGCTGGTGGGAACATGTATCTGGATTTTCTCTATTCTGCTCTTGTCGAGTTCCCAGCTGCCTTCATCATCATCGCCACCATTGACCGCGTCGGGCGACGCTACCCATGGGCTGCATCAAATCTGGTGGCTGGAGCTGCCTGCCTTGTCACTGCCCTGATCCCAGAGGGTGAGTCACCGGAGGCCTGGCACAGCTTCCCCACCCTAACGTCGCCTCTTGGGAGCAGGGCTAGTCTACCTCCCTATATAGCCCAAGTGAAACGAGGTCAATCTGTAGCTAAACAACAAATAAATAAATCTGAAAGCCCCAGGGTCCTGTATGTTGTTTTGGGAACTTCCCAAACTGCAACTCATGTGGTGCCAACTGTTTGCATCTCCTGCAGCAGAGTTGAGAACTATGGCGTTGGTTCATTAACTGATTCCCTCTAAATCTTTGGAAATATGTAAATGTTTTCCATATGCTTTGCTTGCAGACCTACACTGGCTGAAAGTGATCGCCGCTTGCATTGGGCGGATGGGAATCACAATGGCCTTTGAAATGGTTTGCTTTGTGAACACTGAACTGTATCCGACGTATATCAGGTAGGTGCCCCTTCTCCCAGCCAGCCCCTTGGCCAGGAAGTGAATTCAAGGGAAAAATGGAGACAGCCCAAGTGGATAAGGGATCTTAGTTCCTGTGTATTTGAATTTGGGCCTCTTTTGTACCAAAACAACCTTTAGATGGATCTATCCAGAGTCAGTGCTGCTATAGTGAATTCCAAGTCTGTGATCTTAGGTCTGGTTTTCTCCACTGTCTGTATGTTGGCTGCAGGACAACCTGCTCAGCAGCAGGTATGTGAGATACAGATATCTAAAGCTTTAGAGATGTCAACCCTTCAATTTCCTGCTTTTTCCCAGTGATCACAATGAGAGGTAGATGTATCATATGCCCTTGTGTGAAGCGTAGGTGTTTGTGTTGGTGAGGTGAATCTCACACTTTCTTTCTTCACTAGAAAGGAGCCGATTATATGTGAGATTGCACTACGTATGAAGTTACAAAACTCTTAGTTTCTTTATCAAAATGAATGCAGGATAMGACAGTTTAAAGTTTTATTTACAGTTGCAGTACTGTGCATTAGCAACAGAAGGATTTTTGGACACCCCTTGGACAGCTAAGATCTACTGTAGTTGAATATTTTACATTCTTACTAAATCTGTTTGGATATTCTACTTAGATTCTCTGCGGATGATTCTCTCTTTARCCTTGGGAATGTATTCATCCTTCTCATGTGAAAATACAGATGAACTCTTTGTGAAGATTTTTATTCTTGCGCTATATAGGTCTGAATTTCTGGATTTGCCCACCAGCTATGAAAATTAGGGCTTTTCTAACTATTTTGTTATTTTGTGTGTTCTGCASAGCAGCTCTATATGAGGTCAGAGCTGGTTCCTTTCCACCTGCAGCAGACATTCCCACTAATGCAATCCCTTTGCTGTTGAACCAGGAACCTTGGCGTCATGGTCTGCTCTGCCCTGTGTGACATCGGTGGAGTCGTTGCCCCCTTCATCGTCTACAGGCTGGTGGAGGTGTGGCAGGAGCTGCCCCTGATAGTGTTCAGTAAGTGCCACCTTGTCTCCTCGCAGGCTGCTCCTCAGGGCCAGCAAGGGGGCCCAAGCTGTGAAGGGAGGAAAACTGCTGAGGCGGTTGCACCAAATTCCGTAGAACACATTCTCTCTTTTAGAACCCATAACCTCCAGTTTAGAGTAACTTGGAGCTTGGTTATGCATTTGTATTGTTTTTTTTGTTAATATTGCTCCTTCTTTTTTTAAAGAATGCTAAAGACGAATGTCTATTTGACAAACATCACAGATCTGAGAAATATTGCTACATTTGGGTTGGATTAATATTTATAACTGATTTAAGTCTGATGAATTACTGTTCTTCTGTGAGTTAGATTGTCTCAGTCCTGGAACGACAACAACAACAAAAAGTTTCACATAATTCTTTTCTTATTTAATGATAATGATACTAATGATAATGATCAGAAAGAAGGTGTGTATGCCGCAGAGTAGCGTATGCTAACAAAGTCTTTGCTTTGTTTGATTTGAAGCTGTTCTTGGTTTAATTGCGGGTGGATTGGTTTTACTTCTGCCTGAAACTAAAGGAAGAGTTCTGCCTGAGACAGTTGAAGATGTTGAAAACTTGCACAGGTGAGTCAGGGTGATGAGCTTGCATTGACTTATACATGCCATACAGAAAGGGGGTAACCCAAGCAAGCCAACCCCCTAAGTGATTACTTTCAAAATTTCCCTATGTTTTTAATGGCTCTATCAGTCTACTTTTTAGGCACTTTGAGTGAAATGATTTGTGACCAAGTTATGTTGTAAGTGGTAGGATAAAATGATGGCCTTTTTCCTTTGCATGTCAGTTCTAACAAATAATCAGATGATAGATGCATCAAATTATTGATAACTTGAGTGCGTCCATTTCTTATGAAGGAAAAGTAACCAAAATAATACTTAAAATGGCTCAGAGGTGGTCATTTATCTCTGTATTCTGAGATGTCTTGTCACCCCTCACCTCTGACTGCCTGCTTCTTCCCTGCACCAACTGCACTAGCCCCTCAAACCTCCTGCAACCCTCTTATAATTTGTGCTTTACAACAAACAGAAATTCATCTTGTGGAACAGAGAAAGAGCAGTCTTAATACCAGCTACTCTTGTAATGAAGTAAATCACCAGTAACTACTGAAGAGCCAGAACAAGCCTCAGGGCTTTAAAGATCAATTGCTCATTTTCTTTGGAGAAGAGGTGAAGACAAGTGATGAATTTGCAGTTAGGTGCTCATTGAATGCATCCATTCCTGATTTACTGCTCATGTCATGTTGTTCTTGCAGGCAAGGAGCTTCAAAGGAGAAACAAATCTATCTCCATGTCCAAACATCAGAAGCAGCACATGACTGAAGAATGCAGGCCTCTTGCTGGGCAGTGTGCTTTAGAGCAGTAGTACTGAAACAGATTTAAATAAATATCCTCTCTTCTATCTTCCTTTTTTGCCCAACTATCCTGTATTTACAATGCTTAGAGTTTTCTGATGAGGTTGTCCCTATTCCTGCATATTTTTGATTTTGTCTGCATATTATAATATAAATATATTTGGAATGGAGGTGACTACAACCCATCTACAAGTTTGTTACAGCGTTCAACTCTTTCTCACAGATCTTTACTCACTTTTAAGTGTCATGGAGTTCACCTATGTTCTTGTGTCTGTGGAAGAGCTTACATATGGCATTCAGCTGGCTCACAGGGATGAGTGTATGGCAACCAGGAGCATGAAAAGGAAAGTGTTGGAGAAAGATGTATGGTTTTTCATAAGGTAATAACCATTCATTTCCTAGTGTGTAGCTACCTGCTGTTCTTGTGGTGTTTGAGCCACTTTCATGGTGGGCCACCCACACTCGTTCTGTGTATGCTACTGTTTGCTTAGAATTCCCTAGTTTTATAACCATGTGTATATGTAGACACATATACACACAGAATTTGATAGGAATCTCAAACTATTGTAGCAACCAAAATGTATGGGAGCTGCCAGTGTTTATAGTTGAGTAGGGAACTGATCAGATCCTGCTTTGCTGTGGGGCAAGGATAAGACAGAGCACTGTTTCAGTGTGTGTTTGTGGCTTGGGCACAGAGAAGGAGGAAGGGAAACTGGTCTCTGCTCATCCGGGCTGTGCAGGGAGCTGCCTAACATCCTGCCCTAGATGAAAGTGGTGGTTTGGCAGCTGCCCTTCTCAGCAGCAGCAGCAGCCGAAGCTCATCTCCTCCTGGGACTGAAGCAGCAGCACAGGGGCACGACCAGCTCAGTGCTGCGGCAGACCCTGGTGCTGGCAGCCCCAGGGCTGTGGGGCTGGGACAGCTCTGGGCAAACTGGGGAGCACCTGAGCAGGGCTATGTCCAGCTTAATGAGTAGGAGACTGTATTTCTCTGAAGATTCATCCTTTCAACAAGACCCTGCTTCTAGTYTAGTCATTTACAATCTCAGTGTATGGATTGTGTCTGAAAGGAATATGATATTTCTCATATTTCAGGGTACCCTCTAGCTTCCAGTAGCTGGATTGTTGAAAAGATGGGCCTTTACTTTGTAATTGTGAGATGCAAAAGTCCTTGTTTTCTGCCCAGCTGCAGATGTGGTCCAGCTGCGGCAACAATTTCTATCTGCTGTTTCTGTCCTTATTTTTTGTTGTCAGCACCAACATCCAGACACAGCACTGCCAACACAGCTTTTATTTGTGATTGCTGCTAGTTTCATTCCATTAAACATGACCATAGGCTTTACAGAATATGAGACTCATTAAAGTTGAGTGTCTGCAAAGTATGATCTCATCATGATAGCTCTGTCAATGTGCTTTTGTGTACGTGCCCATGGCAGCGTATTGACAGAAAGTTGCATCTTACACAGCTTCTGTGGTTTCCAACTCCCCTTTTTTTCTGTGATCAAAATATTTATGATTTTACTTGCAGCTTGGTCCACCCCTATTCCTACCGCATGGCACTGCATCACTCTACATTCAGTAAATTTTTTTTTAATATGAATTAATCAGATCTTTTCCCAGAACTGGGCCTGGTCAGGAGACCTACTCAAAGCCCCAGATTGGACTGTGCATGCAAAGCTGATGAATATAATGTGAATCRCATAAGTGGTTGCCAGGGGTTATGGAGAGGATCCTTCAAGATTTAAAAGCTCTACAGCAGTGATTTTTCCAGCATACCATTGATGGAGAACTGCTTAGAAAGCCAGATCCTTTGTGGCTAATCTTCCCCTTCAGTCCTTACCCTCTACAGCTATTTTGGAGTTTGGCTGTACAAAAAGSCCAAAAACATGGCATTAGGAAAACAGTTGAGCACAAACACAAGCATGAATTTTCTTTGATGAAAAGGGTACTGTGTCCTGTTATTGTTCATGCTGCTGCCRGTTGGGATTTGGGATGGGACTTTCCCCTCCCAGTCACTGATCCCTAACTCTCTTCTAGCTGCATGCAATCCCCTCAGGGCTTGAGATTCTGCTGCCTTCAACTCTTCTTTGCCTTCCAGCTTTCAGCTTTTCTAATATTCATATATCTACTTGCAGTGAAATTACAGGATGTCAAAGCTGAAAAGCCAGTCTAGCCTTGGAAGTGTGGTGTTTTTTTTTTTTTTTTTTTTTTTTTTTTTTTTTTTTTTGCTTAGATCTCTGTAAGAGAAAGAAAAAAAAACAGGAGAAATAGAGAGGCTTCTGGATGCCCCAGGGCTCCCAGAGTGGGTGACAGGAGCAGAGGTGCTTGAAGATACCTGCCCTATGCAGCCTCAGAGGTCCACAGACCAACTAGCAATGCACTGGTAGGGGCAAAGATTTTAAGGGGAGTAGAGGGAGAAGGCTGAGAGGAGATATAATTAACATGTTCATGAAGGGAGAATGCAGGGAAAAAGGGGCCAGGCTCTTCTCATTGGTGGCCAGCGCTAGGACAAGGGGCAATGGGCATAAGCTGAAACGCAGGCAGTTCCATGTCCAGGTGAGGAGGAACTTCTTTCCAGTTGAGGGTGACAGAGCAGCGGAACAGAGAATTTTGTTCTTATAACAACATGAAGAAAGTGCTTCTCTGTGAAGTTTGTCCTTGCGGTGTAACAGTTGCTGCTGCCTGATACCCTGGGGCACCAGAAGTACAAATGTGCTCAGAAGAAAATGGAAAGATTCATGGAAGCACAGGTCACAAGGGACTGCGAAACAGAACCATGCAMAGATAACCTTGCATTTAGGGACTGTCCAAGCTGCTGGCACCTGAGAGGGTAAACTAGAGAAAAGATGACTGCAGATTTGCCTTGTTCCTGTATTTTCCCCCTGCACTTTGCTTAGAGGCTAGCTGGAGTGCGGGCTGGACTTGCTCGGGCTGTTCTGCAGGTTCCTTTCTGTCTCACTGCACCAATACAGGAAGATTTAGGGGAGAACAGGTCCTTATTTGGGTAAACTTCTGAAGTTAGATCATAGAGATAAATTGAATTTTTTTCTTTGCTTCTTTCTCATCTGCAGAAGTAATAAAGAAAAGACAGATGATGTGCCCAATAGCTAATATCAAAAGTCACTAAAAATACATGTAATGAAATATCTATTAAACATATTTATTATTTAATCACTGGCCGTTTTTAAAGTGACATAGGCTTATTTTAAAGAACAATAGAAAAAGAACTAATCTGGAGAATATTTTGGCCTTCTTGCAGCTGTACCCCCATCTGAAAATCATACCAATGGTTTCCTAATGTAAATACTTGTCATGATAGGTGACTTCTGAATTAATATCTGGGTGTGTATTTGTATGTGTGGACTCCTGAGCTTTTCCTAGAAAAAACTCRCATTCAGTCCTGCATGAGGTTAGCTTGCCTTCTGACCAGGCCCAGTCCTGSAAGAGGGGCTGTAGGAGGGGTCAGCAGCAGAAGAACCATGGGGCTCAGGGGCTTTATGGACCCATGCTAACCCTGGAGGAGATTTATTGTCCCCACTGCCCTTTTGGACTTAGAGGGGCCTCTCTTAACAGGTCCATTTCCAATTTGTTCTCCTCCCATTCTCACTCSATCTTATTCTCTTAATCCTGTCATCTCCATCTTGTTCATCTCCCCTTCCTGCTTCTAGTCTTTTAATCTCAGCTTTTTGACGCTTACTTCTAAATTACTTAACACAACCTTCTTAGTTGGGTAGCTGACCCACCTTACACCCRATTCGTTGTTCAGAGGCCTTCAAGCATCTCCTGCACACATACTTTCGGTTCCCCCCAGCAGCAGGAGCAAAATGCTCTACGGGGTCAATAGCAGGGCCCTCCTGGCTGTGATGGTCTGCCTGTCTGCCCTTGGACCAACCACCTGTCCTGCTCTCCTGTGGGGGTTGATTGTAGACTTCTCTCCCTTCTCCTTCCTCTGGCATGCTCCTTGCTCTAGCACTCCTAGACTGCTTCTCCCTTTTTTCCCTCCAAATCCCTTTCTGTGGTCTCAGCACAACCTTCCTTCTTGTTATCTTCTGATGGCCTTCAGTCCTACGTTCACCACCTGAGGATGTTTCTCCTACTTGAAATCAGCTCTTGACGTCTCTAAATGGGTCATTTTTCCTCAATGTCATCCCACATTTTCAAGGTATTGAGCTTTCTTTTTATTATTATTTTTTATTTTATTTTTTATTATGGGAGCAGTCGCATCATCACTAGGCCATCTGCTACAAAAAGTCATAGACCTGTCCAAAGCATAGGAGAGCACAGTGCCAACAAGAAGTAGCTAGTATCACCCCCAGAGCAAAGGTAGGGGTAGACTGTGCTACCAGCTACCTGTGCAATGTTTTAGGAAACRGCTGGAAAATGAGCCGATCACAGGGATATCTTCTGGAAGGATCAAACTGGCTTCCTGTTTTCTTATTCTTTCTCCTCATTCTCTTTCACCCAAGCCCTTTTTCCTCACACTCAKTTTTTTACTAGGCCAAATATCTTTTGGCTACGTATCAGCTCCCATAAATGGGAGCAGTTCCCTTAGTACCCATAAAGTTATACTCTAACTGTGGGAATTGCTTAAGAGTATGTAAATTGTGTCAAAAGAGAAAGCACTGAAACCACAGACCAGACCGCTTTTCTGCAATGGTCTTTTTCAAAATTTAAAAATGTGCCTTAGCCAACCTTGTCCCTGTTGGATACAAGTGCTTCTGGACGTGTCAGTGGTCCTTCTACTTGTAGAGATGAATAAGAGGCAGGAGGATCAACCTGTGAACGCCACAAAGGTGCATAACTCAGCTAGCAACTGCTCACAGCTAGACTGGGCCAGACCAGGGAAGTTTTAGGTAGGAAGGCGTGATTGATTGACTGGCYTGGTCCCCAACTTTGCTTTGCAGTTGTGATAGCCAGCTCAGGGGCGGCAGAAGGGCAGCAGCGGTGACTGTGCCCAACCATGAGCCTTATGGATCTGGACCCTGCTCTTGGCTTGCTGAAGTGTTGAAATGCTTCAAGCTCCCATGCAGTTGAGTCCAGACCCCAGCAAAGCTACTCRAGAATCATTCAGTGACCAGGAATTTTCTGTATTTGCAAAAAACTCAGCAGGTTCTAATAGATACACAATAAATGGCTTTTCTTAGCAGATTTTGTTGATGTAAAGAAG